ACCCACGACCTCTGACTCAAAAGAGTTCAACAACCACTGGCCTCAGATTTGGAAACAACTTAACACCTTAAACTCTACATAGATTAAATAAAAATCCAGACTTGTCACTTTTTTCCTATTTTGCCTATACTTTTATTTTTTACTCACGATTCTGTCACTCTACGATAGAAAACTCTTATGCCCATGAGATAAAGTTCAAAGTAGACTGAACAATGACTCAGCACACGGTACTAACAACTAAGCAAGCGTGTGCAATGCTTTTGCACGCGGTGCGCGTTACGTTTCCTATGGTGTAACAGTAACAGTCACATTCGAAACATTTGAACGTGGAACGTGTACTTTATTAAAATTTAAAACATTTTGTGCCAGTGTTATATTTTTTGACAGACTTTTTTTAAATGATTTGTTTGAGTTTGTTTTTTCTTTTGAATATTCCAAAGAGTTTTAAATGAAATACAAAAGTTTGAACTTCCACGTTGCCAGGTAAAAAAAAACTTTTTTAAACCACTAAGTGTGAAAATAATTAAGTTATTTTTAATTTCATGTCAGAACGATCCTTAAAGTTATTTGATCCAAAGAAACCTTTCCGTTGATAAATACAAAGCTGACATTCCTTTAACTGCAATTTACCATGTTCTAAACCACAATAGTATGATAGAGACAAGTATAGCTATATCTAGCTAATAACTAGCACCTTGTGCTATTGGAAATAAATGCTAATTTGCGATAGCAAATTATAGTGTTACGTGCACTGTGCGCCAAGTTTCGTATTGTTTCCGAGTTAGATAATAAAGTGCGGTAATATTTTGCTCTAGTAAAGTACCTAGCGGCAGTATTTTAAACGTGTAAAAGTATTTATTTTAAACTAGCTTTCCGCCCGCGGCCTCGCCCCCGTGGAATTTTGTCTGTCACAGAAAAACTATCGCGCGCGTCCCTGTTTCAAAAACCGGGATAAAAACTATCCTATGTCCTTTCCCGCGACTCAAACTGTCTCTATGCCAAATTTCATTAAAATCGGTTCATTGATTCAGGCGTGAAAGAAAAGACAGACAGAGTTACTTTCGCATTTATAAATAATATTAGAATTAGAATACTAGATTGCAAAAAAATCTGTTTATTTTTTCAGAATTCTTCCCCTAAGAGGCAAAAATGGGGTGACAATGTCTGAAAATCAACTTGAGTAGGTATTTGTGTTTATCAGATCGCTAATTACGAAAACAATACTATAGGGCTTGTTCTAAGTCCGCCTGGCTAGCTATCACCATCTTATCTAAGTCTGTCGCCATAACAACAATGTTAACAGCATTGTTGTGTTCCGGCGGTTAGAGGTAAGATAGCCAGTTCCTCCGTGGTTGAGGATTCCGGGTGAAGCTCGCTTCCACCTTCGGCCTGATCGTCACTTACCATCAGGTGAGATACAGGCCAAGAGCTTCCTCGTTGTGGATAAAAAAACGCGATAAAAGCTTTTTGTGATTGCATCAAATTCGCATAATGAATCCATGTGTAAAATGTCCAAGGATATTTATTTATTTATTTGTCTGCCAGGCCAGGTCAGGCCATCTGGCCAGGGTGGGGAGTGTAGGACTAATCCTCTTGCCTCTGGTCAATTAGAGGGTCGTGCTACTGCAGTGGAGACTAGATGACCTGATGATGATGGCCCAATACTTACCCTAATATTAATATTAGACGAAGACAGGTTGTCATGGGTTGTCATGCTTCTGTCATGCGCCTGAAAACGGACTTGCCGTTTTCACCATCAATCCCTAATTTTTAAGTGACCCCTATGGTAACACGCATACGCATGCACGCATATGCACGATAGTACGCAGAACTGACGGCCGATGGGGCAGCAAGGTTCTGGAATGGAGGCCGCGTACCGGAAAACGCACCACAAGGTGGACCGACGACCTGATAAAGGTATCAGGAAGACGCTGGATGCAGGCCGCTACCAACCGTGCGATGTGGAAGTCATTGGGGGAGGCCTATGTTCAGCAGTGGACGTCCTGTGGCTGAAATGATGATGATGGTAACACAACAGGAATTTTGTTTTCATAGGGGTCATTTCAAAATTAGGGATTGATGGTGAAAACGGGCATAAATGACCTCGTATTGATATTATTGTCACATAGTACTGATAAGAAGTACCTTTTTAAACAGCACGATACTTTTACGCGGTCTGGTTTTTAATATTATCTTATCTATGTGCTCGTACGTGAGAAATGTGTGGGGAAGTTTATTTGGCGTTTAATATGAGTAGACAGCAATGCTTTACTGTTACCTAATGCATTATTGGGGTCAAGGACTTTGACCTTACACAGCTTTTGTCCGATGCCCGCGACTCTACTCGCGTTATGACTAAAATTCATTACATTACCAGTGTTTTTCAACCTTTTTCATGACACGACGAAAATATTTTGCGACCCGGGACCGATCGCTTTTTTTTCATGCATTTTATAATGTTACTAGCTTTAGCCAGCGGTTTCATCCGCGTGAAATTTAGTTTGTCACAGATCGTCATAAATTATAGCCTATATGTTATTCCGGGTTGTAAACAATAATACTGTAAAGTTTCATCAAAATCCGTTCAGTAGTTTTTGCGCGAAAGTGTAACAAACATCCAGACATCCAAACTTTCGCATTTATCATATTAGTAGGATTAGTAGGATAATATTAGTAGGACAAAGATGTTGTAGGACATGCACATGATGCTCAGCACTGGCCCATTTATTGTCCCGAAACAGTGGTAGGGTTAATATTGGGACATGAAAAAGTGCTTTTTACAAAAATAAAATGAGATTTACGAGATAATTTTTATGTATTTAAATACAGGATATTTAAAAGACAAAGAAAACCGTGAAAATGTGTAGACAAACAAAGTTAACCCATTAAAACGTATAACACGCGGAAAATGAGAAAACTGTGACCAATCTGTTTGGTTCTGCAGATAAATGGTTAACAACAAATGCATGTTACTTGGTGTTAAGCGCACGATAGTAGACTGGGCAAAGTTGGGGGCGAATTAGTGGTGCAATAGCTGCATTTTAATATACTTACGTTCTTTGTCGATGGAGATCACTCACTGCGCGTGCATAGATCACCGCGACCAATGACAGGACGCGTTGATGTGAAGTCATCGCTACAAATTTATGAATTCTGATCGCCATCGCGCACGCGACCTGCACGCGTTGATTTGGCCAAACCTTTACACAAAACTTGGCCTGTTTTTGACATAGTATCTTAACTTTCCATAATTTTAACAGGATGTAAAAAAATGTTTTGAATAACAAATCAGTCTACATTGTAAAACCATTCTCTTAAGTCTTAAGTCATTAATTAAAAGGTTAATGACTTGGTGACTGATTGATAGATTTCTTTGAAATTATTGATTTCAGACCACAAATACACATTATTTTACTTCTTACAACGGATTTCCGACTACTAACTTGTTTTTGGACTTATTTTTTTTTTAATTTTAATGATAAAATCAAAAATCAATCAAAATCAAAAGTATTTAGTCAGTTTAGACCACAAGTGGCACTTATGAACGTCAAAATATAGTAAATAATAAAAAAAGAAAAGGTAGCCCCTATGGGGCACTTTACATGTCTCCTTATCTTTTGGGCCCTACCAGCGCTTCGAGACAAACATATGGCAAGTGCTGAGAAGAAACGCCGGAACAAACTCAGTCACCACTAATTGCCAGGAATTATCTAACGGTAAGAATAACCAAATTCGAGTACATCAAATATGTGCAGACTGAACTGACCACGCATCCTTGTCATCAATATAGTCTCGAACCTTGTAGTACCCTTTGGACCTTTGGATAAATTGATTAGCACTGTGAAATATTATTATAGTGAGACTATCACAAAATATAGTAATACGTACATATAATAGAGAAATACGGTTCGCAACGCGACATTTTTGTATGAGTTACCTATGTACTCACAGCTTGACGTTTCGGCTGCTATGCATGCTGCAGCCGTGGTCACAAGTAGACTGACTTAAAAAGGAACTCGAAAGTTTAATTTCACAATAAATAAATTTTATAAGATTATCATTAGATCAATAATCTCCACTGCAGGAACACGACTCCAATTTACCAGAGGCAAATGGAGGATTTGTCCTACACTCCCCACGCTGGCCAGACGGTTTGGGGAGGCCTGATGCTCGCATTTTTGTCCCTTAGTCGCCTCTTACGACGTCTATGGGAAAAGTGCGCGTGGTTCTACTTTACCGGAACCAAACGCCGACTGTTCTTATTTCACAACTTGGACTATGTGACATGAAGGCTTTTACAAGGTTGAAAGGCTAATTTATACTTACTAATGCCTATAACCGGAAGTATTATATAATCAATAACTTTCCTACCTATTTCGGAAGTATCAGAGCTCCTTTGAAAATTGGAACTAACAAATGGTCATGTAAGCTGGCAAATAAGTGACTGCTATTCTGTCTAGCATTTCTAGAAGCCATTCGTTCGTTTCAACCTAGTGCCGTCCACTGCTGGGCAAAGGTCTCTCCCAAAGATGTCCCTAATGACCTATCCTAAGGTGTCGTATCCAGGTGCTTCCTGCGACCACTAAGATCGTTGGTCCTCCAAGTGGAAGACCTACTTACACCACGTCTTCCGGCTTATGGTGGCCATTTTAGAACTTGTCTTCCAAGAGCCATCAGTTTTACGAGCTGTACAGATTCTTTACAGATTCATCAACATCATCATCATCTCAGCCATAGGACATCCACTGCTGAACATAGGCCTCCCCTAATGCATTCCATGCTACCCGGTTGATACCGGCCTGCGTCCAGCGCCTTCCTGCTCCCTTTATGATGTCGTCGGTCCACCTTGTGGGTGGACGTCCCACGCTGCGTTTTCCGGTACGCGGCCTCCACTCCAGAACCTTGCTGCCCCATCGGCTTTACAGATTAACCCATGTAAACCTCATTGGGCATGGAATGTCATATCAAGTTATTAATAATATTATTTCTGTTGTCCACAGAGAGCCCAGCCAAGAGCTGGTGGCGGTGCGGGTCCCGATCAATGGCATGACATGCCAGTCGTGCGTGAAGAGCATAGAGGGCTCTGTAAGCGAGCTGCCCGGCGTGCAATACGTTAAGGTACGTTCTACTGCCAATAGACCAACTATTATGGTGTAGAGCAGAACATGGTCTAATCTGGTCCGGTCTACTGTGATCTACTCCGGTCTTCATTGATCTACTCCGGACTAAAGTGGTCTATTCAGTCACAGTGATAGGTCTACTTCTTCGGTCTACTGTAGTCTTCCTAAAGCTTCAGCCAAACCAACGCGTGCAGATCGCGTCAGTGATGGCGATCATTGCGCGTGTATAGGCTAATGACAGGTCGCGCGTCCTGTCATTGGCTTATGATCGCCATCGCCGACGTCATCTGCACGCGTTGGTTTGGCTGAAGCTTGAGTTATTAAGACTTGAGTTTTAGAGACCTTTGTCAGCGAGCTACAGTCCACTCAAGTCTACTGTGGTCTCCTGTGGTCTACAGTTACTCTGATATAATCTTGCACGATGGCTCAGAACGATTCCTGTACTTTACATTCATGTACAGTCGTTCAGAGTTCGTGACTCCCAAAGTGGCCAAAAAGTTTATAACACAACCTTATTCCAATTGTAACAAAGACGTATTGCGAACTTATCGTCTACTTTGGGTATCACGAACTATTTGACGCTGACTGTACTATGGACATTGGAACTGTAACTACCCATTTCCGTTCATGTCTCGTCTTGTCAAAGAATGGCCATTTGATGAGAGCGATCGGAAATGATAGCCGAACGGTGAAGGGGTCGGACTGGCCGACTTGAGATCCGAGGAACGCGGGTTCAAAACCCACCGCCGCTCGACTATTGTGGTGAGCCCACTCGTAACACAAGCTTATTTAGCTTACCACGAGGGGCTAACGGGACTATTAGTAATTTGTGCAATACAAATTGCTAACAATCTTCCCACTGAGAAACTTTCGTTCACCCTCAACCCCAACTGTTTCAGGTGGAGCTATCAGAGCACGCGGGCTACTTCCGGTATGACCCGCGCGAGTGCTCCGCCGCCGCCATCCGCGCGCACATTCACGACATGGGCTTCGACGTGCCGGGNCGTTCTTCTTTCTAAGCCCACTGATCGCCATCGCGCACGCAAGATGCACACGCGTTGGTTTGGCCAAACCTATACACAAAACTTGGCCTGTTTTTGACATGTATCTTAACTTTCCATATTTTTAGCAGGATGTAAAATATTTTTGAATGATCAAACGAACTTACCAAGTGAAGTTCGATCTAAATTATCCTGTTTTCGCCGAAGAGATTTATTTTACCATGTAGTACCCCTGTACGACAACCCAATCCGCACACAATATTCAGCGTAGTAGTATTAAAAAACAAAAGAGCGGGCAACCCCACCCCTACCACGCTGTGGGCTCGGTGTCCGAGCGGTCTCATTATATTTAGAGAAGAGATGACATTGACGTTTACCTCCAGGGAAGAAGATATAGAAATCTTCGGGTTGGGAGGGACCTTAAATCTCTTCGGCGAAAACAGGATAATTTAGATCGAACTTCACTTGGTAAGTTCGTTTGATCATTCAATCGATGACGAGGCCAGGTGAGTCATCATCATCATCATCATCATCATCATCATAAGGTCATTAATAGCTTACGTAGACACGGCAGCCTTTGCAAACTTCTAGGGGGCACCAATGACTACGGATTGGAAAACTTACTGTAGGTAGACCTCCGACTTGGTGGACCGAGGATCTGGTGAAGATCATCTGGATACATGTAGCGCAGGACCCGTCGTTGTGGAGAGGCTTTTGTCCAGCAGTGGACGGCATTAAATTAATGAAACGATAGCATCAATAGGGCTACTTCTGGTATCATCCGCGTGCATATACGACATGGGCTTCGACGTGCCGGGAGGCGATGATGAGGCCAGGTGAGNGTGAGATTATTACTATTATTGTCACATAGTACTGATAAAAAGTACCTTTTAAAAACAGCACGATACTTTTACGCGGTCTGGTTTTTAATATTATCTTATCTATGTGCTCGTACGTGAGAAATGTGTGGGGAATTTTATTTGGCGTTATATGAGTAGACAGTAATGCTTTACTGTTACCTAATGCATTGTTGGGGTCAAGGCCTTTGACCTTATACAGCAGTTTTTCAACCTTTCTCATGACACGAACCCCTAGTATCAAAAAATACTTTGCGACCCCCCGAACGTTCGCTTTTTTTTCATGCATTTTAATAATCTTACAAGAATGTTGTAGGGACCGAATACTTCAATCCATACAACAATTGCTTATTAGATTTCGGATAAATCTGTCTTCAAAACTTAACTGCTTTTACTGGGGTAGTTTTTACGACCTCTCGCGACCCCCCTATAGAGGCTTCGCGACCCCTCATAGAGGCTTCGCGACCTCCCTATAGAGGTTTCGCGACCCCCCAGCGGCCCACAGGTTGAAAAACACTGTTAAACAGCTTCTGTCCGTGGCCCGTGACCTTGTTTGCGTTGTGACTAAAATTAATTACGTTTTTTGAGTCTTGCCCCTTGAGTATCCACGGAAGACCAGGCGTCGTGGTGTCCCTTACGACACCTCGGCATGATGCTGAGTGGATACCATTTCGGTGACACGCACATTACTTACTCTACTTAGTTCTAGTTTTGTTTTCGATTTTGTTTTGGGTCGCTAAATAAAATATTTCATTTTCATTTAAACAAATACCACTATGTGTGTAGTAAGCTTACACCTAGTGACCTACTATATGTGTACATAGCTTCTTCTGAGAACTAGCCCATTTATTGTCCCGAAGCAGTGGGATACTGGGACGTGTAAAAGTGCTCTTTGAAGCCCAGTTGCAAAACAAAATGAGTGATTTGAGTTCGAGAGTTTATGTATTTCCTGTTTAAAAGACAGATAAAGAAAACCGTAAAAATGTGTAGACAAACAAAGTTAACCCATTAAAACGTATAACATGCGGAAAATGAGAAAACTGTGACCAATCTGTTTGGTTCTGGAGATAATGGTTAACAACGAATGCACGTTACTTGGTGTTAAGCGCACGGTAGTAGACTGGGCCAAGTTGGGGGCGAATTAGTGGTGCAATAGCTGCATTTAAATATACTTACGTTCTTTGTCGATGGCGATCACACACTTCGCATGCATAGATCTCTAGATCGCAGCGACCAATGACAGGACGCGTTGATGTGAACTGATCGCTACAAATTTATTAATTCTGAGGGCCTAGTGTGAGTTTACATCAAACGCGCTCACTAGTGAGCGCGTCAAAAAATGGCATTAAAAAAATAAAGGATTGTACAGCGCCCCTAGCGGAAACGTTCAAGAACTAAAAATTTCATACAAAGAAGAACGGTCATCTGTGACCCAGGCCCGACAGAAACGAGACATACCTCAGTTTTTTTGTCATGTCCTAATTAGTTAAATTATATATTTATTATATTCGAAATCAATGTATAACACCAAAATTTTACCTTTTGTTTTTGTTCAGGCGTTATACAAAAACTAATACAAAATGCCTATTTATCACAAAAATTGGTATGTATGAATGTATCTAGGTGACCTGGAGATACAGCCGGATTATACAGGGTGGAAACGAGAAGTTACAAAATCCAAAAAATCAATGTTACCAGCTTCCATAATCTGTAACCTATTATTGGTACCATTTGAAAGAGCTCGTGAAGCACTTTCAGAATCAGTAACTAGTTTTTCGATATCTTGTATAGTTTAGAAATAATCGAGTGAGATCACTTATCGTTCCATATGTATAACCACCCTGTATAATCCGGCTGTATCTCCAGGTCACCTAGATACATTCCATAGCAGCTGTAATAGACATTTAGGTACATACATTTACTGTTGGGTCTAATTCTCGTCACTACACTGCACAACTTAAAATAATTACGTTTTTTGTCGGTAAAAACGTCCTGGTGACGTCACGTAAGCATTTTTCTTATACTGCGTGCGGTCGTTGCGCGTGCGCACAAAGGAATGAGACCGCTCGGACACCGAGCCCACAGCGTGGTAGGGGTGGGGTTGCCCGCTCTTTTGTTTTTTAATACTACTACGCTGAATATTGTGTGCGGATTGGGTTGTCGTACAGGGGTACTACATGGTAAAATAAATCTCGGAGGCGAAAGCAGGATAATGAATAACAAATCAGCCCACAATGTAACCGTTCCCTTGAGTCATTAATTAAAGAGAACAAGGCCAATGTTAATGACTTGGTGACTGATTGATAGATTTCTTTGAAATGATTGATTTCAAACCACAAATACACATTATTTTACTTCTTACAACGGATTTCCGACTACTAACTTGTTTTTGGACTTATTTTAATGCAATTGATAAGCACTCTGAAATATAGTGAGACTATCACAAAATATAGTAACACGTTTAATAGAGAAACACAGGTCTCAACAACTCAACGCGACATTTTTATATGAGTCTTTGTACTCACAGATTGACGTTTCGGCTGCTATGCATGCTGCAGCCGTGGTCACAAGTAGACTGACTTAAAAAGGAACTCGAAAGTTTAATTTCACAATAAATAAATTTTATAAGATCATCATTAGATCAATAATCTCCACTGCAGGAACAGGACCCTCTCTAATTTACCAGAGGCAAGAGGATTTGTCCTACACTCCCCACGCTGGCCACACGGGTTGGGGAGGCCTGATGCTCGCATATTTGTCCCTTAGTCGTCTCTTACAACGCCTATGAGAAGAGTGGGCGTGGTGTTACTTTGCCGGAACCAAACGCCGACTGTTCTTATTTCACAACTTGGATTATGTGACATGAAGGCTTTTACAAGGTTGAAAGGCTAATTTATGCATTAGTAAGCATAGCCGGAAGTATTACTTAATAACTTTTCCTACCTATTTCGGAAGCATCAGAACTCCTCTGAAAATTAGAACTAACAAAATGGTCATTTAAGTTGGCAAATAAGTGACTGCAATTCTGTCTAGCATTTCTAGAAGCCATTCGTTCGTTTCAACCTAGTGCCGTCCACTGCTGGACTAAGGGCTCCCCCAAGGATTGGTCTTACGCTGCCCGCATTCACGTGCTTCCCGCGATCTTTACCAGACCTTGGGTCCACCAAGTGGAAGGTTTGCATACACTACGTCTTCCGGCTCATGGTGGGCATTTTAGAACTTTTCTTCCAAGAGCCATCAGTTTTACGAGCTGTGCTTTACATATTCGTCAACATCATCATAATCTCAGCCATAGGACGTCCACTGCTGAACATAGGCCTCCCCCAATGCTTTCCATGCTACCCGGTTGATAGCGGCTGCGTCCAGCGCCTTCCTGCTACCTTTATGATGTCGTCGGTCCACCTTGTGGGTGGACGTCCCACGCTGCGTTTTCCGGTACGCAGCCTCCACTCCAGAACCTTGCTGCCCCATCGGCTTTACAGATTAACCCATGTAAACCTCATTGGGCATGGAATGTCAAATCAAGTTATTAATAATATTATTTCTGTTGTCCACAGAGAGCCCAGCCAAGAGCTGGTGGCGGTGCGGGTCCCGATCAATGGCATGACATGCCAGTCGTGCGTGAGGAGCATAGAGGGCTCTGTAAGCGAGCTGCCCGGCGTGCAATACGTTAAGGTATGGTCTACTGTGGTCTATACTGGTCTACTATGGTCTTTATTCTACTTCGAGCACTATATTGGTCTACTGCGGTCTACTGAGGTATGCTCTGGTCTTCGTTCGTTCGTTTCAGCCGAAAGACGTCCACTGCTGGACAAAGGCCTCCCCCAAGGACTTCCACAAAGACCGGTCCTGCGCCGCTTGCATCCAGGTACCTCCCGCGACCTTCACCAGATCGTCGGTCCACCTAGTGGGGGGCCTGCCCACGCTACGTCTTCCAGCTCGTGGTCGCCACTCAAGAACTTTCCTGCCCCAGCGGCCATCAGCTCTTCGAGCTATGTGCCCCGCCCACTGCCACTTAATTTTAGCGATTCTGCGGGCTATGTCAGTCACTCTTGTTCTCCTACGGATCTCCTCATTTCTGATTCGATCACGCAGGGAAACTCCGAGACAGTAGAGCCTCTCAACAAGTGGGTCTTAAAATGAACATGGACAAGACAAAAATTATGTCAAATGCCCGTGTTGTACCCACTCCTCTGAAGGTTGGAGACACTACACTCGAAGTTGTTGACAGTTATGTGACCACAGTAGGTTTTTTTTAGTTAACTGTAGTCAAATCTTCGACACATAGAATAGCGTACAATCTTCTCAGAACCTTCCGTTCACCCTCAACCCCAACTGTTTCAGGTGGAGCTATCTGAGCACGCGGGCTACTTCCGGTATGACCCGCGCGCGTGTTCCGCTGCCGCCATCCGCGCGCACATTCACGACATGGGCTTCGACGTGCCGGGCGATGACGAGGCCAGGTGAGTCATCATCATCATCATCATCATCATCATCATAAGGTCATTAATAGCTTACGTAGACACGGCAGCCTTTGCAAACTTCTAGGGGGCACCAATGACTACGGATTGGAAAACTTACTGTAGGTAGACCTCCGACTTGGTGGACCGAGGATCTGGTGAAGATCATCTGGATACATGTAGCGCAGGACCCGTCGTTGTGGAGAGGCTTTTGTCCAGCAGTGGACGGCATTAAATTAATGAAACGATAGCATCAATAGGGCTACTTCTGGTATCATCCGCGCGCACATACACGACATGGGCTTCGACGTGCCGGCCGATGACGAGGCCAGGTGAGTCATCATCATCATCATCATTAGCACGACCCTCTCTAATGTACTAGGTTAGACCTACACTCCACACGCAAACGGAGCTAGCTGCAGAGTGGTCATCAACATCAGGCCATTTAGTCTGCTGCAGCAGCACCATCTTCTGTAGATTACCAGAGGCAGATAGAGAATTTGGCCTAACCTCCCCAATCCTCTCAGGCCAGACAGTGAGCTGTTTCGACATTCATGAGAAAAGTTGTAGTGCCCAAACACCACGCTCCTGAAACCACACCAGGTCTTTGTACACTAGCTAGCGTGACCAGTGGATCAACCGCGCGCGTGCTCCGCTTCTGCTATCCACGCGCACATACAAGATATGGGCTTCGACGTGCCAGGGGGCGATGACGAGGCCAGGTGAGTCATCAGTCCACTCAGTTTTCACTACAGGTTCACGACTTTCTATAGTTTTCCAGAGGCAAATTGTGGAGAGACATCTACGGGAAGAGTAGGGGTGTACATACTCGTATTCTACTTTGCTGGAAACATACCACATACAAGATATGAGCTTCGACGTGCCGGGCGATGACGAGGCCAGGTGAGTCATCAGTCCACTCAGTTTTCACTGCAGGATCACGAAATTCTGTAGTTTCCCAGAGGCAAATTGTGGAGAGACATCTACGGGAAGAGTAGGGGTGTACATACTCGTATTCTACTTTGCTGAAACCATACCACATGCAAGATATGGGCTTCGACGTGCCGGGGGGCGATGACGAGGCCAGGTGAGTCNTGAAACGATAGCATCAATAGGGCTACTTCTGGTATCATCCGCGTGCATATACGACATGGGCTTCGACGTGCCGGGAGGCGATGATGAGGCCAGGTGAGTGATCATCATCATCATCATTAGCACGACCCTCTCTAATGTACTAGGTTAGACCTACACTCCACACGCAAACGGAGCTAGTTGCAGAGTGGTCATCAACATAATCCAGTGAGCTCTTTCGACATTCATGAGAAAAGTTGTAGTGCCCAAACACCACGCTCCTGAAACCACTCCAGGCCTTTGTACACTAGTTAGCGTTACGAGTGGAGCACTATCTGCTATTCGCGCGCACATACAAGACATGGTTTTCGACGTGCCAGGGGGCGATGACGAGGCCAGGTGAGTCACCAGTCCACTCAATTTCCACTGCAGGATCACGACTTTCTGTAGTTTCCCAGAGGCAAATTGTGAAGTGACATCTACGGGAAGAGTAGGGGTGTACGTACATACTCGTATTCTACTTTGCTAGAACCATACCACATGCAAGATATGGGCTTCGACGTGCCGGGGGCCGATGACGAGGCCAGGTGAGTCTTCACTAGGTCATTCAGTCTACTGCAGGAGCACGACCCTACCATATAGGCCAGACGGCTAATGAGGTCTTACGACATACGTCACAACACTTCTGGACACAAGGCATGGGCTTCGACGTGCCAGGGGGTGATGACGAGGCCAGGTGAGATACAGAGTAACCATCATCATAAGGCCATTAAAAGCTTACGTAGACACGGCAGCCTTTGCAGACTAGCACGCATTATCATGAAGGACATAGCCCGCAGAATCGCCAAACTTCTAGGAGCACCAATGACTACGGACTTTAAAACTTACTGTAGGTAGACCTCCGACTTGGTGGACCGAGGATCTGGTGAAGATCATCTGGATACATGTAGCACAGGACCCGTCGTTGTGGAGAGGCTTTTGTCCAGCAGTGGACGGCATTGGACTAATGAAACGATAGCATCAATAGGGCTACTTCTGATATCATCCGCGTGCATATACACGACACGATATGGGCTTCGACGTGCCGGGCGATGACGAGACCAGGTGAGTCATCATCATCATCATCATCATTAGCACGACCGTACCATATAGGCCAGACGGCTAGTGAGCTCTTACGACATACGTCACAACACTTCTGGACACAAGGCATGGGCTTCGACGTGCCGGGCGATGACGAGGCCAGGTGAGATACAGAGTAACCATCATCATCAGTCTTCAGGTCTTTTAGGCTCCACTGCAGGAGCACGACCCTACCATATAGGCCAGACGGCTAATGAGCTCTTACGACATACGTCACAACACTTCTGGACACAAGATATGAGCTTCGACGTGCCGGGCGATGACGAGGCCAGGTGAGTCTTCACTAGGTCATTCAGTCTACTGCAGGAGTACGACCCTACCATATAGGCCAGACGGCTAGTGAGGTCTTACGACATACGTCACAAAACTTGACACAAGGCATGGGCTTCGACGTGCCAGTGCCAGGGGGTGATGACGAGGCCAGGTGAGTCATCATCATGATCATCATCATTAGCACCACCCTCTCTAATGCACTAGATTAGACCTACACTCCACACGCAAACGGGGCTAGTTGCAGAGTAGTCATCAACATAATCCAATGAGCTCTTTCGACATTCATGAGAAAAGTTGTAGTGCCCAAACACCACGCTCCTGAAACCACTCCAGGCCTTTGTACACTAGTTAGCGTTACGAGTGGAGCACTATCTGCTATTCGCGCGCACATACAAGACATGGGCTTCGACGTGCCGGCCGATGACGAGGCCAGGTGAGTCATCAGTCCACTCAGTTTTCACTGCAGGATCACGACTTTCTGTAGTTTCCCAGAGGCAAATTGTGGAGAGACATCTACGGGAAGAGTAGGGGTGTACATACTCGTATTCTACTTTGCTGGAACCATACCACATACAAGATATGAGCTTCGACGTGCCGGGCGGCGATGACGAGGCCAGGTGAGTCATCAGTCCACCCAGTTTCCAATGCAGGAGCACGACCCTACCATATAGGCCAGACGGCTAATGAGGTCTTACGACATACGTCACAACACTTGACACAAGGCATGGGCTTCGACGTGCCAGGGGGGGATGACGAGGCCAGGTGAGATACAGAGTAACCATCATCATCAGTCTTCAGGTCTTTTAGGCTCCACTGCAGGAGCACGACCCTACCATATAGGCCAGACGGCTAGTGAGCTCTTACGACATACGTCACAACACTTGACACAAGGCATGGGCTTCGACGTGCCAGGGGGGGATGACGAGGCCAGGTGAGATACAGAGTAACCATCATCATCAGTCTTCAGGTCTTTTAGGCTCCACTGCAGGAGCACGACCCTACCATATAGGCCAGACGGCTAGTGAGCTCTTACGACATACGTCACAACACTTCTGGATACAAAGCATGGGCTTCGACGTGCCAGTGCCAGGGGATGATGACGAGACCAGGTGAGATACAGAGTAACCATCATCATCGGGTCATAAAAAGCTTACGTAGACACGGCAGCCTTTGTAGACTTGCACGCATTATCATGAAGGACATAGCCCGCAGAATCGCCAAACTTCTAGGGGCACCAATGACTACGGACTGGAAAACTTACTGTAGGTAGACCTCCGACTTGGTGGACCGAGGATCTGGTGAAGATCGCGGGAATCATCTGGATGCAGATAGCGCAGGACCTTTGTCCAGCATTGGACGGCATTGGACTAATGAAACGATAGCATCAATAGGGCTTCTTCTGGTATCATCCGCGTGCATATACGACATGGGCTTCGACGTGCCGGGCGATGACGAGGCCAGGTGAGTCATCATCATCATCATTAGCACGACCCTCTAATGTACTAGGTTAGACCTACACTCCACACGCAGACGGAGCTAGTTGCAGAGTGGTCATCAACATCAGGCCATTTAGTCTGCTGCAGCAGCACCATCTTCTGTAGATTACCAGAGGCAGGTTGAGGACTTGGCCTTACTTCCCCAGTCCTCTCACAGGCCATACAGTGAGCTCTTTCGACATCATGAGAAAAGTTGTAGTGCCCAAACACCACGCTCCTGAAACCACTCCAGGTCTTTGTACACTAGCTAGCGTGNTTTTGATTTTGATTTTTGATTGCGGGAAGCACTTGGATGCAGGTAGCGCAGGAGCCGTTGTTGTGGAGAGGCTTTTGTCCAGCAGTGGACGGCATTAGATTAATGAAACGATAGCATCAATAGGACTACATCTGGTGTCAACCGCGTGCATTTACACGACACGACATGGGCTTCAACGTGCCGGGCGATGACGAGGCCAGGTGAGTCATCATCATCATCATCATCATCATCATCATCATCATCATCATTAGCATGACCCCCTCTAATGTACTAGGTTAGACCTACACTCCACACGCAGACGGAGCTAGTTGCAGAGTAGTCACCATCATCAGGCCATTTAGTCTGCTGCAGGAGCACCATCTTCTGTAGATTATCAGAGACAAATAGAGGATTTGGCCTAACCTCCCCAATCCTCTTACAGGCCATACAGTGAGCTCTTTCGACATCATGAGAAAAGTTATAGTGCCCAAACACCACGCTCCTGAAACCACTCCAGGTTTTTGTACACTAGCTAGCGTGACCAGTGGATCAACCGCGCGCGTGCTCCGCTTCTGCTATCCACGCGCACATACAAGATATGGGCTTCGACGTGCCGGGCGATGACGAGGCCAGGTGAGTCATCAGTCCACTCAGTTTTCACTACAGGATCACGACTTTCTGTAGTTTCCCAGAGGCAAATTGTGGAGAGACATCTACGGGAAGAGTAGGGGTGTACATACTCGTAGTCTACTTTGCTGGAACCATACCACATGCAAGATATGGGCTTCGACGTGCCGGGCGATGACGAGGCCAGATGAGTCTTCACTAGGTCATTCAGTCTACTGCAGGAGCGACCCTACCATATAGGCCACACGGCTAGTGAGCTCTTACGACATACGTCACAACACTTGACACAAGGCATGGGCTTCGACGTGCCAGTGCCAGGGGGTGATGACGAGACCAGGTGAGATACAGAGTAGTCACCATCATCAGGCCATTTAGTCTCCACTCGAAGGAGCAAGAGAGGCAAATGGAAGATTTGGCTTACATTCCTCACGCTAGCAAGATGTCCGCATATTTGTCCCTTAGTCGTCTTCCCAGACCTCCACGCCAAGAGTGGGGGTGGTCAAATTTTACTCAGCTGACGTCGAAATCCATGTCTTGTATAAGGTTACTTATTCAAGACATGGGCTTTGGCGTAACTAGAGGTGATGACGAGGCCAGGTGAGTTTTCATCAGGTCAATTTAGCGTACAATCTCCACACTTGTCAGGCGGAATGGGGAGGCCTGATGGTCGCATATTTGTTTGGTCGTTCTTTGTCGCCTCTTACGATATCAAGAGTGAGATGCTTAAATTCTACTTTGCTTAAAGCACATTGCTCTTTAGCCACAATCCACAATCTACTTGCCCGCCAATGAGCAAAAAAATACACATTTCTTCTACCACTTTGTTGTCCGTCTATTTACATGCAACCTCTTCATCTCTAATACATTCTTTCTCTCCCCACAGAAGTCTCCTACCAAAGCCAATACCCACCGATCTTCTGATAGACATGGGGACATCAAGCGAAGAAAGCGAGGTGGTGCTACACGTCACCGGCATGACTTGCCAGTCGTGCGTCAACACCATCGAAGGTTGGTAAACCCTTAACACGAGGTAGTAAAGTTCAAAATAGTGTATTATTATCCTCAACTGACTTTCTTTCGCCACTTCTTCTCAGCACCAGCCCATATGTTGTCCCGAAGTGGTGGTAGGGCAAGCTATATTTGGGACGTGTATAAGTGGAGAGGGCCTATGTACTGCATAAACTATTTGATTTCATTTAAACGAGGAAGCCCTTGGCCTGCATCTGATCGATCGATGGAAAGTAACGATCAGGTTGACCTGATCGTTACTTTCCATCAAGTGAGATGAAGGTTGAAGCGAGCTTTACCCAGAATCCTCAACCACAGAGGAACTGGCTATCTTACTTCTAAATCAATACAGTTAACATTGTTGTTATGGCGACAGACTTTAGTAAGATGGTGGTAGCTAGCCAGGCGGACTTAGAATAAGCCCTACCATAACTCATAACAAAACCGAGCAGAAAATTTTGCCTTCACTGGGAATCGATGTCGGGAACTCTAGGTCTGGTTTTATTCCTAGACTAGAGCAAAGAGATTAATTTATGCTTTATGGTAATGGTCTCTAAGTTTTTTGGGAAAATTCATTTTATNGAAAACTGACGAACCTTTTCATTCCGTGACTGTACAAGAGAGCTTTACCCAGAATCCTCAACCACAGATGAACTGGCTATCTTACCTCCAAAATAATACTGTTAATATTGTTGATATGGCGACAGACTAGTAAGTTGTGGTAAGATGGTGGTAGCTATCCAGGCGGACTTAGAATAAGCCCTACCATAACCAAACCGAGCAGAAATTTTTGTCTTTACTGGGAATCGACCCTGGAAACCCTTGAGTCTAGTTTTAATTCTAGAGCAAAGAGATTATTTTTTATGATACAGTCAGCGTCAAGTAGTTCGTGACACCCAAAGTAGCCAAAAGTTCGCAACACGTCTTTGTTACAATTGGAATAAGGTTGTATTGTCAACTTTTTGGCCACTTTTGATGTCACCAATTATTTGACGCTGACTCTGNCATTTTATAAATCTTTGACTTATTTTTCGCGACTTTGACAATCGCAATAACAGCCCAACGTTCTTTAGTGAACTGCTCAACTTATACCCGTCTCTCTCATCCTCAGGCACACTGCAAGAGATGCCGGGAGTCGTATCAGCGTCCGTAGACCTACCCTCAGGCATAGCGAGGGTACGCTCGACGCTGGCGGTGACTCCGCAACAGATCGCTGACGCTGTGTATAACTTGGGCTTTGACGTCAGCATCAATGGTGAGTCGTCAGCATCAATGGTCAGTCGTCAGCATCAATGGTCAGTCGTCAGCATCAGTGATGGTCAGTCGTCAGCATCAGTGGTCAGTCGTCAGCATTATTGGTCAGTCTTCAGCCGTCAGCATTAGTGGTCAGTCTTCAGCATCAGTGGTGAGTCGTCATCATCAATGGTCAGTCGTCAGCATCAATGGTCAGTCGTTACCGTCTTCGTCAAAACACGGGACCATTCGCACCTCTCGTTCCCACCGCTGCAACTCCTGTGTAGCCAGGATCTACAGCTTGACCGCCAATAACCCAACCAGAGAAGGTCAAGTTTGTCCCGCTTAAAAGCACGGAAAGTCGTCAGCATCAAAGATGAGTCGTCAGCATCAAAGATGAGTCTTCATCATAATCATCATCAGGTCAATTTGAAGATTACATCATTGGCAATGGTGAGTCATCATTACCATCCTCATCATCATCATCGAGTGAATTTGACGTTAGCATCATTGGCTATGGCATAATCATCATCAACTTCGTCTTCGTCGTATTTTTCGTCATCATCAATATAACGCCCGTATTTTCAAATGCTTGTTTAAGTGAAGCAGCAAGTCGAACGCACATCGTTGAATAGAGCTCTGTGATTGCTTCTTGTGTCACCCTGTGCGTTCACGTGCACTGTGAGACCTCATAGTAATGTTTGTGAATACGGGCGTGAGTGTATCTTGTTGAGTATTGGAAATACTAACATGGCATTTAAAGATTAAAATTGTAATTAAAATTATGTTTTGTTTCAGAAACAAATTCTCAAAACAACTCCCAAGAAGGCTCTGGTGACAGTGCCAAACCACCAACACCTGTTAAAAGCAAAACACACGCAAACGTAAGTCATCATCGTCATCATCATCATCATCTAGCAGAGTCTATACTAATTTTATTGCATTACAATGAGGGTTTTCGCGAATGAAAGATCCGCTAGACGGCGGGACGTGGATGTGGGGTCTGACTGCTGCGTATTTGGTGGATTTTGTCATATCTGTCAATATCATGTCAAAAATAACCAATCATGCAGCATTTGGACCTCGCGTCTACGTATTGCCATCTGGCGGATTTTTCATTCGCGAAAACCCTCATTGCATTCCAAAACGTGGCGTTCGCGTTCCTTGGAAAACATTTGTTTGACTATCTAGGTAATTTTCGTATTTTTCGTATTACGGTACTAATGTTGTTTTTACAAATAGACCGATTTTGATGCGGTTTTGTTCATCATCATCATCAACAGCCCTTTACAGTCCACTGCAGCTGACTTTGAGCCTCCTCCACTATAGTGGAGGGTTTTGCCATAACCCCCACGCTTGGCAGGCGGGTTGGAGATCGCAGTTTAAAAGATTGATGTTTTTCTTCAGAGAGCGTTGCTGCCCGTTCTCTGTTTGATGTGACCCTAATGTTTCCCCTGGCCTTTCCAATGCCCGTTTTCACCATCAATCCCTAATTTTTAAGTGACCCTAAGGTAACACATAAAAATAATTTTGTTTTCACAGTGATCACTTAAAAATTAGGGATTGATGGTGAAAAGGGGCATAAGTCGCCTCTTACGACACCCGCGGGAAGAGTAGGCGTTGGTGACAAATGTATTATCCGGTTTTGTTATAATATTATTATTGTTTCCAGGGCACAGCGTCGCCCATGGCAGACAGACAGACAGAACCAGTTGAACTGTCCTGCTGCACGCTGGAAGTGAAAGGCATGACGTGCGCCTCCTGCGTCGCTGCCATAGAGAAGAGCTGTTCCAAGCTGTATGGTGAGTGTAGCAATATTGGCGTCTTCTTACTAAAACTGACCTAAATTCCGGTCGCCGAGCAGATAAAATTTCGTCCAATGACCCCAAGCTACCCATCCTTATCGCTCGCGCGTAATTATATTGCTGTCGCGACTGTGCGACGGGCGCCCGCAGTGAGTGTACGAGCGCGACAGCAATATAATAATACGCGCGAGCTATAAGGATGGGTAGCTTGGGGTCATTGGACGGGATTCTACGTGCTCACGGACCAGGCTTTAGCAATAATATAGGTCTAGCACTTAACAGAGTCCGTACCTGAGGTATGGGAGCGGCAAGGGAGGGTGTTTTTGTGACAATCGAACGTCAGCGTGACTTCAGATTTGTCTGCTCTGTCACGTCATAATATTTTAATGTTACCCCTCTTATGCCGCTCTGATACCTCAAGCACTGACTCAGGTAAGCGCTTTACTTTAACGTTGGTATTTGTTATTAATTTAAAATGTCTGGATGTTTGTTAATCGTTCACGCAAAAACTACTGCCGTTCAGTAGTTTTTGCGTGAGTATTATTGTTTATAACCCAGAATAACATATAGGCTATAATTTATGACGACGATTATGTTAACGATTTGTGACAAACTACATTTCACGCGGGTGAAGCCGCGGGCAAAAGCTAGTCATAGAATATTAATGAGTATTAAGTAAATACAAATTACTGCAGTATCTATTTCCATTGTTCCCAGGCGTCCACTCAATAGTAATAGCCCTTCTAGCAGCTAAAGCAGAAGTCAAGTACGAGCCGGCAAAGATATCGGCGGCAGACGTGGCTCGGTCCGTCACCGAACTTGGATTCCCGGCTGAAGTGCGAGCGGACTGCGACGGCAGCGGCCAGAAGGAGATGCAGGTTCTGGTGAGTTTCAACTGCGTTTCAGCTGCGTTCCAACTGCGTTTCAAGGCAGAAGTCAAGTACGAGCCCGCAAAGATATCGGCGGCAGACGAAGCCCGGTCGGTCACGGGACTAGGCTTCCCGGCCAAGGTGCGAGCCGACTGCGACGGCAGCGGGTAGAAGGAGATGCAGGGTCTGGTGAATTTCAGCTGCATTTCAGCATCGTTTCAACCACGTTTTAGCTGCGTTTTATTTGCATTTCATATCTGTTTTTTTTATCCCCAACGGGGAAGCTCTTGGCCTGTATCTCACCTGATGGTAAATGATGATCAGGCCGAAGGTGGAAGCGAGCTTCACCCGGTATCCTCAACCACAGAGGAACAGCTATCTTATCTCTAACTGCCGTTTCAACTGCGTTTCATATCTATTTATTCGCCTACCTATCTACGTATTTATCTTTCTTTCACAGATCAAAGGCATGACGTGCGCGTCGTGTGTCAACAAAATAGAGAAGACTGTGCTCAAATTGCCCGGCGTGGTTTCTTGTGCAGTCGCGCTCACAACTTCCAAGTAAGTTCTTATGGATGAGTGAATGAATGAACGCATGGATGAATGGACAAAAGAATTAATTTTATGATAGTGAATGGGAGGGTCAAAATAGAGACATGCTCTAATGGGGATGTTGCCTGGGTCAAAAAGCAAGAGTTTTAATTAGTCAGTCATTTAACTTATCAAAAAATACTCTACACGTATTTTTCACTTTTTCAAACTAATGAAAATTTAAAGAGATAAAGCGCCCCAAAGTTCATAAGAAGAGGCCCGTGACGTCAACGCTTGCTTAAAAATGCCGCACGTCGTGACGTCGTGCGCAACTTCAACGCACCATAACTATGTAATTATTTGTTAGATTGACAAATAAAAATATATGTGTCCAATATTTTTTGATATTAAACATTACGGACTAAAAAAATTTTTTTAGGCAACTAGCCTATTGATGCCTCGACATGATTGATTGTCACTAAGTAAGATGCATTCGTGAGTTAATTAATGATTGAATGAAATACTGTCATACGTGATGAGTGAATGAATTTAGGAACATCTAGACAGTATAAACGACAATTGACGCCCGTATTCACAAACATTACTATGAGGTCTCACAGTGCGCGTAACGCACAGGGTGATACGAACCAATCACAGAGTTCTATTTAACGCTGTGCGTTCTATTTGCTGCTTCACTTAAGCAAGCATCGTTTGTGAATACGGCCGTGAAAATCTGAAGAATTTAACGAAAACTTAAAGTTATTTTTAAGTCGTTGTGTTAATACTGGCAGGAGGCTTTTGTCCATTTGGCAGTGGACATCCTATGGCTGAAATGATGATGACGATGAGAGTATATTAGAGAGAGTCGTGTTCCTGCAGTGGAGACTAAATGATCTGATGATGAACATAATATATTCTTTTTTCCCCCAGGGGCAAAATAAAATATATGGCGGAGCAGATAGGCCCCCGGAGTATATGCGACGCGATCAACTCCCTCGGCTTCGAGGCGTCGGTCGTCGGGCCTAGGGATCGGGGCACCACACACTACTTGGAGCACAAGTAAGTGGCTTACATTTTAGGGGCAAAATACAGTGCATAGTGGGGCACGATACAGTACATAGTGGAGCAAGATAAAGTACTTGGAGCACAAGTAAGTGTCTTTAATACTCAGGGGCAAGATACAAAACAGAGTGGGGCAAGATAAAGTATTTGAAGCACAAATAAGTGATCTTACGCCCCCAGGGGCAAGATACAGTACACAGTGGGGCAAGATTAATACACAGTGGAACAAGATGCAATACACAGTGGGGCAAGATAAAGTAACACAGTGGAGCAGATAGGCCCCCGGAGTATATGCGACGCGATCAACTCCCTCGGCTTCGAGGCTTCGGTCGTCGGGCCTAGGGATAGGGGCACCACACACTACTTGGAGCACAAGTAAGTGATTTGTATTCCTTCTCCTATATTCTTCTGATTAATTTAATTGCGAGTCCAATGTCAGTTTAAATTTCCCCCGGGATAAACTTGGCCTTCACTAATTACTTTATTTATATTAAGGTACAGCACAGATTACGAATTCGTTTGAAAGATAAATGGGACTATTCCCGTTCTTCATAGTATCTATTAACGTACAAAAAGTCTCTCTCTCTTAAACTCTTTAAAAAGTCACCTTCCGTACATCCACGCATTCCAAACCTTATTGTGAGTTCAGATAGCTTGCTGTTTTTTCACTGAATTTGATTTAGCTTACATACAACCTGTGATTACTCTCGCATATAAATAAGTACATGTATTACTGAAACTATTAGGTCAAACTGACTATTACAACTTACCGCATAATGTCATTTGCTTCTAATTAATTTTGAACTTTATTCCTATGACAAAAGGCTTCAAATCAACTGAGCAAATATGCTTAAAGGCCAGTTTAACCGTATCTTAATCATAAAAATTAAAAACTTTCCATCTCTCTCCACAGAGAAGAAATAAAAAGATGGCGGACGGCGTTCCTCATATCTTTGTTATTCGGCGGGCCCTGCATGGTGTCCATGGCTTACTTCATGGCGCACATGGAGCACGGGCACATCGCGGTGCTGCCGGGCCTCAGTCTGGAGAACCTCATCATGTTCCTGCTCGCCACGCCTGTGCAGGTGAGAATAGACTTTAAACCCGAGACATAGGAGCTAGATTGGTATAGCTGGTGCGGGAGGATAAGGGTCAATTTTGCAGTCACTAAAGCGGTTGGAGGACTGTTTATTTGACAAAAGATTGAGTCTTATCACAAGCGTATAAGGCTCAACATCACAAGAAAACGTTTAGTTTCAATTCGTGGAGCAGCTAACTCCATGCGTATTATAGCCTCCTAGTACTTTTTATTTGCATGTCTCTTTTGTGGAGGGAGTTTCTTCTGTATTCCTTGCGTATTATGACGCCCTGGTACTTTTTGTAGGCACTTAGTGAGAATCTAAGAGTTTTATGTATGTTTGTCACATAATATGGTTTCATTAGTCTTACATAGGTTTAGTCTAATTTGTAATATGCCTAGATTTTAGTGTTTTCATACAGTGCAAGTGAGAAGGTGTTTTATGTCAAAGAAATAAGGGTTAGTTTGCTGTTAGTTGTTCTAGAATCTTAGATATTTCGAGTTTTAGATCCGAATTCTTGCTCAGCCATCAATGCTGGTAGCTTAGCTCTTATCCCGTCCGCATAAGGTTCTGTCTCGTACGGTACTTGCGGCCTATATTGCGAGTGAGAATGACTCTTATGTCCAAGCTATAAAGATCTGTTTGCTATAGCTGGTTGGGGGGGATAAGGGTCAATTTTGCGTGACTTACTAAGGACGCTCTAGGAGTTTTTATTTGACAAAAGGTGAGCCTTATCACAAGCGTGTAAGGCTCAACATTGAACACTTTTTTATGAGGCTGTTCTTTTTGAATTCGTGGATCGGCTGACTCCATGCGTATTATAGCCTCCTGGTACTTTTTATTTGCATGTATTCTTTGTGGAGGCAGTTTCTTCTGCACTCCTTGCGTATTATGGCGCCCTGGTACTTTTGTTGGAACTTAGTAAGTATAGAAGGACTAAAAATAGTGGTTTTATGTATGTTTGTTACATAATGTGGTTACATTAGTCTTACATAGGTTTAGTCTAGATTGTAAAATGCCTAGATTTTAGTATTTTCGTACAGTGCAGTTTTGTAAGCATAAAGATGTAGTACGTTTGGCGAATGTCAGATCAGAATAATTGTAGCTCAACCATAGGTGCTAGTAAATTGGCTCTTATGCCGTCTCTATAAGGTTCTGTTTGCTTCGTCTGAACTTACAGAGCGACTTATACCTATAGTTAATAATTGTTGTTACAGTTCGTCGGCGGCTGGCACTTCTACAAGCAAGCGATAAAAGCGCTGCGACACGGCACCACCAATATGGACGTACTTATATCAATGACTACCACTATCAGGTGAGAGGACTATTGTTTTCCTATTGGATAGTGATATACAGTGTGTCCGGGCTTGTAGTGATCAAACTTTAATGGCGTAATCTATATACAATTTTATCGATGAAAATACTTCAAATTTGGGGCTTGACCCATTTGTCGCAAAATAACGAGGATTTAAGTTTTTAATTTTTAGTTTTCACCTCTTCCTTCAAAAACAAGTGAAAACGTGGGTAACTTAACATTAATAAGCGAATATTTGATATCATGCGATAGTCAATAAAATTATCTATTAGTACAAGTAGAAAACGGACACAAGTTTCATACATTTTATGGAAGTAAGAATAGATTGAATTAGAAAAAGACATGATTTTTTTCACTTCTTTTTCAGTTATTTTCCAATACAAGAAAAACCAGGTCGTTAAGGTATGTTTTATTTGCATTGTATTATTAGTATTTGAGCTATTCTACTATACGAATGTAAATTTATCAGTCTACGTCTATTAGTTTTGACGTAATTATTGAACAAAGATACCCCTTCCCAGCCGGTTCCATAACGCGTCGGAATAGGCTGTGTGATTCTTTCAGGCAGTGCATTTTCGCATGTTAGCAGCGCTATGGAACCGGCTGGGAAGGGGTATCTTTGTTCAACAATTACGTCGAAAGTAATAGACATAGACTAATAAATTTACATTTCATGAGAAAAGTTGTAGTGCCCAAACACCACGCTCCTGAAACCACTCCAGGTCTTTGTACACTAGCTAGCGTGACCAGTGGATCAACCGCGCGCGTGCTCCGCTTCTGCTATCCACGCGCACATACAAGATATGGGCTTCGACGTGCCAGGGGGCGATGACGAGGCCAGGTGAGTCATCAGTCCACTCAGTTTTCACTACAGGTTCACGACTTTCTATAGTTTTCCAGAGGCAAATTGTGGAGAGACATCTACGGGAAGAGTAGGGGTGTACATACTCGTATTCTACTTTGCTGGAAACATACCACATACAAGATATGAGCTTCGACGTGCCGGGCGATGACGAGGCCAGGTGAGTCATCAGTCCACTCAGTTTTCACTGCAGGATCACGAAATTCTGTAGTTTCCCAGAGGCAAATTGTGGAGAGACATCTACGGGAAGAGTAGGGGTGTACATACTCGTATTCTACTTTGCTGAAACCATACCACATGCAAGATATGGGCTTCGACGTGCCGGGGGGCGATGACGAGGCCAGGTGAGTCTTCACTAGGTCATTCAGTCTACTGCAGGAGCGACCCTACCATATAGGCCAGACGGCTAATGAGCTCTTACGACATACGTCACAACACATCTGGACACAAGGCATGGGCTTCGACGTGCCGGGCGATGACGAGGCCAGGTGAGATACAGAGTAACCATCATCATCAGGTCATTAAAAGCTTACGTAGACACGGCAGCCTTTGCAGACTAGCACGCATTATCATGAAGGACATAGCCTGCAGAATCGCCAAACTTTTAGGAGCACCAATGACTACGGACTGGAAAACTTACTGTATGTAGACCTCCCACTTGGTGGACCGAGGATCTGGAGAAAATCATCTGGATACATGTAGCGCAGGACCCGTCGTTGTGGAGAGGCTTTTGTCCAGCAGTGGACGGCATTGGACTAATGAAAGAAACGATAGCATCAATAGGGCTACTTCTGATATCATCCGCATGCATATACACGACACGACATGAGCTTCGACGTGCCGGGCGATGACGAGGCCAGGTGAGATACAGAGTAACCATCATCATCAGGTGATTTAGTCTCCACTACAGGAGCACAATCCTAATACGGGTTGGGAAACTTGGGGAGGCCTTTCCTACTTGTCGCTTTTTACGACATCCTCGGGAAGACTGAGAGAGGAGCGTAGTCCTCTCCATACCACATACAAGACACGTGCCTGGGGGTGACGACGAGGCCAAGCAAGTCATTATCAGGCCATTTAGTCTCCACTGCAGGAGCACGACCCTCCTTAATTTACCAGAGGCAAATGGAGGATTTAGCACGGATTCCCCACGCTGCACANTCGAACCGGTTGGCTAAATTGGACCGAAGCTCTGAACTCGTATTTTGTTGATTTGTGCTAAATATACAACAATTGTGTTGATTAATACCTATGAAATAGTAAGTTGAATAATTTCTCTTTATTTATATACCATGAACATTAGCAAAATCAAAAGAAAACTATGTGTAAAATGGGATTGAAAAAAACTGGTCCAAATTACCGGACTCTCCCTTATGGTTTCATTAGTCTTACATAGGTTTAGTCTAGATTGTAAAATGCCTAGATTTTAGTATTTTCGTACAGTGCAGTTTTGTAAGCATAAAGATGTAGTACGTTTGGCGAATGTCAGATCAGAATTGTAGCTCATCCATAGGTGCTAGTAAATTGGCTCTTATGCCGTCTCTATAAGGTTCTGTTTGCTTCGTCTGAACTTACAGAGCGACTTATACCTATAGTTAATAATTGTTGTTACAGTTTGTCGGCGGCTGGCACTTCTACAAGCAAGCGATCAAGGCGCTGCGACACTGCACCACCAATATGGACGTACTTATCTCTATGACTACCACTATCAGGTGAGAGGACTATTGTTTTCCTATTGGATAGTGATACATACAAATAGACACAAATTATTTGAAAACATTTTATCTTAGTCAAAGTAACGCTCCGACGTTTGTTTACGTAGTTAATTCACTCCAAGAAGCGATTTTGAAATTAAAACTGTCACAATTGTACTGTGTCTAGGGAGCCTGATGATGATATGATATTAAAGATGATGATAAAATAGGGTTAAATTACTGTTCAGCAGAGAAAAAAAATAGTCTTCTTTTATGCGCGTTGGCCAAATCCTCCATTGGATACAACCCTGTAGTTAAGACTAAATGATCTGATGATGATAATGTTGGTGTCTTCGTAACAGGACTATTCCCACCTCTCGTTCCCACCGCTGCAACTCCTGTGTAGCCAGGATCTACAGCTTGACCGCCAATAACACAACCAGTGAAGGCCAAGTTAGTTCCGAAGGAAAGTTGAACTGTGATGATATCAGTCCAGCTTTGCCGATTCCCTGGTGATGGCCTGATGATGATGATGATTAATAATGATGATGATTGTCTGCAGCTACGCCTACTCGCTGGCGGTGGTCATAGCAGCAATGGCGATGCAGCAAGACACGAGTCCTATGACATTCTTCGACACGCCTCCGATGTTACTCGTGTTTGTATCGCTGGGCCGGTGGCTAGAGCATATAGCCAAGGTAAGGCATGAGAAAGTTTATTCCACTTTGTTCACCTGGGTGAAAAAAGTGGAATTTAGTGTCCTCATTTCACCTCGGAACCGTTTCACCTCGGAACCATTTCACCCAGGTGATATCACCCACGTGAATTGATTCGACTAAAGCGGTTGTCTTTGTTCACCTAGGAATTAATTCACCCAGATCTTCGCATCTGTTCACCAGGTGATATCACCCAGGTGAACAAAGTCGACTCAAATTCAAAGCGTTTCAATGTTTTTTAAACCACCTAACTGCACTTTTAAACGCAAAAAACAACAGATTTGTACACATAAGTTTAAATAATAAATCAAAACCATTAAAATAGATCGACCCTTGGTTTCGTTCAATGTCCCTCTTAGATACGTTTTCACTTTTAGCCTTTGTCAATTGTTAAAATGTATAAGAAAATCCAGTTATCTAGTTTGAAATATCTTCATTTTCTTGTACTTACTATGCATCTAAATTTTATTAATGTAAGGGCTCTTTTACATTGCATCTTTTTGCAGCGATACAAACGCGATTCAGTCACGATGCAGCATCGATACAGTCGACAACATCTAACTTTACACACACGCGTTACCAAAAAGATCGCGCGACTGACAAACGCTCGTGTGTATCGCTGCAAAAAGTGACAATGTGTAAGTTCCAGACACAGACACCGGTCTTGACGTTTTCGGTGAAGGCCTCCCTAAATTTATGTCAAAACTCAAGCCTGTATTCGGAACGACTTAGGCACCGAACAAAATGAACAATTACTAAATCCTTTATATTGTTCGGTGCTTAAACTCTAGACTCTATTCAATAGAGATGTTTCCTGGGTCAAAAAGCAAGAGTTTTAATTAGTCCGTCAGTTAACTTATCAAAAAATACTCTACACGTATTTTTCACTTTTTCAAACTAATGAAAATTTAAATAGTTAAAGCGCGCCAAAGTTCATAAGAAGAGGCCCGTGACGTCAATGCTTGCATAAAAGTGCCGCACGTTGTGACGTCGTGCGGAACTTCAACGCACCATAACTATGTAATTATTTGTTAGATTGACAAATAAAAATATATGTGTCCAATATTTTTTGATATTAAACATGACGGACTAAAAAATTTTTTAGGAAATTAGCCTATTAATTTTTTTGTTTTTACTAGTGTATAATTACCCTAACATTGCAAAAAGAAATGCTGTGTATACCTGTAATTGAGGTCATATACGTATCATGTGTTAAACCATGTTAAAATGTATGAACTGTATTATGTATGTGACTTTGTTGGTGTACCTAATAAATAAATAAATAAATAAGTTCCCTAACCTCAAACATCATTGAAAGCAAACCATCTCCCACAGGGTAAAACCTCCGAGGCTCTCTCCAAGCTTCTCTCGCTGAAGGCCACAGAGGCGGTGCTGGTGACGTTAGACGATGACGAGAATGTGGTCTCTGAGAAGAGCATCCCTATTGACCTGGTGGAAAGGGGGGATGTGCTGAAGGTATGTAAATTGCTAGGGTCTTTGCAGGCAAGCTGGCCCATTTACTGTCCCGAAGCAGTGTTAGCAGGCCTGTTCATCTTCGCGAGTTTACATCGAAAACAAAACACGCACGATGGCCCACCTACAGGATAAGAAAATGGTGTACTAAATACTGTGCAGTTTTTAACTGCCTAAATAATAATAAAAACACAGAATGTACTTTTTTAAGCTGCCTCAAAACACTGAGAGGTAAATAAGTAGTTAATATTATTCATGATAATTCATGCTAAATCATGTATTTCCTCCGCCATTTTCCGCAGTTTGGCACCTCACGTCACATCATTTTACCGAAGTCAGCCCTATAGCTTCGGCGCAGTGCCGATCACTGACGTTTGTTAACAAAATGGTGCTTGACTCTTGAGACAGGTTAAATTACACCATAATATTGTTAATGACATTGAGCTTACATTTTTTAAATACCTTCGCGAAGTAAAACTTCTGTACGTAGTACTTAAATTATTATAGTGTTAGGTTTTAAGTAATACTGGGACGTATAAAACCGCCTTTTAACAGCCTGTTTGCTAAATATAAATGAGTTTTATTAGGGATTTTTGGCCAGAGATGATACGATAAACCTATTTGTACTACTATTATATTTATTTTATTTGGGTTAACAAAAAATACTACTTTTTGAACGGCGTACCTACTTTTAGTGCTCTGTGTGCGTTATTTAATACAGCGAGGTCACTCCGAAAACGTTATCAGAAGTTTCGAATGTTGCCATCTCTTTCATGCAAAGGGACATGCTAGCATTAGCAGAGGGGCAGATAGACCGAAACTACGTAAACAGCAGTTTGGAGTAGCCCTGCAGCTTATAATGGATCTATATTATATGATGGGCATAGAAGTACCTTCGTCTAAGCAGGCCTTTAGGGTTTTAGTCGTTCGAAAAAAAAAAACAGTATATTTTTATTTATTTTTTTTTTATTTATTTAAACTTCAGCACACAAACTAACAATGCACTGTGGCGGACTTAATGCCGGATGACATTCTCTGGATATTTTGAGAATGCACATTTAAAATTCTCCTATGTTCATTTAGATTAATTTTGATGCGGGTCCAACGACAGTTTAACGTGCCCCAGAGACATTTTTTTGTGTTAAGTTTGTGAATTTTAACAGAAAATCTTTACCTTTTAACAGGTGGTCCCTGGAGCCAAAATACCCGTGGATGGCAAGGTGATATCCGGCCACAGCACGTGCGACGAATCCCTCATCACGGGCGAGTCTATGCCAGTTCAGAAAACTAAAGGTCAGTGATATCATAACTCAGTCATCATCAATTCATTTGATTTGTACACCGCAAAGGTACGACATGTTGATACCATTTTAAATGCTATTATTATTATTGGTTTTTGGGCCTTTATTTGCGCCAANTAAATAAATAAGTTCCCTAACCTCAAACATCATTGAAAGCAAACCATCTCCCACAGGGTAAAACCTCCGAGGCTCTATCCAAGCTGCTCTCGCTGAAGGCTACGGAGGCTGTGCTGGTGACGTTAGACGATGATGAGAACGTAGTCTCTGAGAAAAGCATCCCTATTGACCTGGTGGAAAGGGGGGATGTGCTCAAGGTATGTAGATTGCTTGGGTCTTTGCAGGCAAGCAGGCCCATTTACTGTCCCGAAGAAGTGTTAGGTTTTAAGTAATAAACATGAACGTAATGCTTAATTCAATACAACATACATCTGTTTCCGCAATTTATTACACCGATCTTGTCGCGACAAGGAAAAATTTCCGTGCTTTTAAGCGATTTTGTGAAAAATATTATTGGCAGGTAGTTGCTAATTGCTCATAAGATAGGCCCCCTTAATTTAATTTATTGTCCGTGGTGCATAATCTTTTTCTTAAAGGTTTTAAACCTTTGTTTGTCACCTGTCATCCGCTTTGCAATGGAGGGAAGTCGAACCTTAATTTCGAACTCCTCCTATGTTCTTCTGATTAATTTCGTTGCGGGTCCAATGACAGTTTAACTTTCCCCCGGGACAAACTTGACCTTCATTGGTTGGGTTTTTGTGGCGGTCAAGCTGTAGATCCTGGCTACACAGGAGTTGCAGTGGTGGGAACGAGAGGTGGGAATAGAATGTATGAACTGTATTATGTATGTGACTTTGTTGGTGTACCTAATAAATAAATAAGTTCCCTAACCTCAAACATCATTGAAAGCAAACCATCTCCCACAGGGTAAAACCTCCGAGGCTCTATCCAAGCTGCTCTCGCTGAAGGCTACGGAGGCTGTGCTGGTGACGTTAGACGATGATGAGAACGTAGTCTCTGAGAAAAGCATCCCTATTGACCTGGTGGAAAGGGGGGATGTGCTCAAGGTATGTAGATTGCTTGGGTCTTTGCAGGCAAGCAGGCCCATTTACTGTCCCGAAGAAGTGTTAGGTTTTAAGTAATAAACATGAATATAATGCTTAATTCAATACAACATACATCTGTTTCCGCAATTTATTACACCGATCTTGTCGCGACAAGGAAAAATTTCCGTGCTTTTAAGCGATTTTGTGAAAAATATTATTGGCAGGTAGTTGCTAATTGCTCATAAGATAGGCCCCCTTAATTTAATTTGTTGTCCGTGGTGCATAATCTTTTTCCTAAAGGTTTTAAACCTTTGTTTGTCACCTGTCATCCGCTTTGCAATGGAGGGAAGTCGAACCTTAATTTCGAACTCCTCCTATGTTCTTCTGATTAATTTCGTTGCGGGTCCAATGACAGTTTAACTTTCCCCCGGGACAAACTTGACCTTCATTGGTTGGGTTATTGGCGGTCAAGCTGTAGATCCTGGCTACACAGGAGTTGCAGCGGTGGGAACGAGAGGTGGGAATAGTCCCGTAGGTTTTAAGTAATACTGGGACGTATAAAACCGCCCTTTAACAGCCTGTTTGCTAAATATAAATGAGTTAGATTAGGGACTAGCGGCCCCCCGCGACTTCGTACGCGTGGATCCCGTTTTACCCCCTTAGGGGTGGAGTTTTGTAAAATCCTTTCTTAGCGGATGCCTACGTCATAACATCTACCTGCATGCCTTTCAGCCCGATCCGTCCAGTGGTTTGGGCTGTGAGTTAATAGATCACTATGTCAGTCACCTTTGAGTTATATGTATAAATTTAGATGATGAACATAGAAGTACCTTCGTCTGAGCAGGCCTTTAGGGTCTTTAGTCGTTCGAAAAAAAAAGAAAACAGTTTATTTTGAGAATGCACATTTTTAGTAAAATCCTATGTTCTTGTAATTGATTTTATAATTGCGGGTCCAATGAAAGTTTAACTTGCCCCAGAGACATTTTTTTGTGTTAAGTTTGTGAATTTTAACAGAAAATCTTTACCTTTTAACAGGTGGTCCCTGGAGCCAAAATACCCGTGGATGGCAAGGTGATATCTGGTCACAGCACGTGCGACGAATCTCTCATCACGGGCGAGTCTATGCCAGTTCAGAAAACTAAAGGTCAGTGATATCATAACTCAGTCATCATCAATTCATTTGATTTGTACACCGCAAAGGTACGACATGTTGATACCATTTTAAATGCTGACTTAACACCTTATGTACACATGTTTGAACAAATAAATGTATCTTTATCTTTATCATCATCATCATTTCAGTGTAAGGCCTTCCCCAAGGATTTCCACGACCGGTCCTGAGCTGCCCGCATCCAGGTACTTCCCGCGACTTTCACTAGATCGTCGGTCCACCCACATTACGTTTTCCGACCCGTGGTTGCCACTCGAGAAATTTTTAAGAGATGAATAAACCTAATAACTTTAAAAAAAAACCGACTTCAAATGCTCGAACACAAATAATACATATTCAACAAAAAAATAATCGTTCAAATTGGTTCATAATCGGCGGAGATATCTATATATATAAAAGAAAGTCGTGTTAGTTACTCCACTTATAACTCAAGAACGGCTGAACCGATTTAGCTGAAAATTGTCAGGGAGGTAGTTTAGAGCCAGGAGAAGGACATAGGATACTTTTTATCCCGTTCGAAATTAAAAAAAAGTCTGCTTATTTATTGCCATTAATGCGGAACAAAGTTCGCCGGGTCAGCTAGTTGCGTATAAAAAAGTTCATCCCCAATCTTCCACACTTGGGGTTGTTTTTTTTATTATTAAATTTAAATGGGACCACCCTTGAGGTATTACCTATACCTACGCCGNAAAAGATATATATTTTTTTTAATAATACACTTTTTTTTCCACAGATTCCCTAGTAATAGGCGGCAGTATAAACCAGAACGGTGCTTTGTTAATGCGAGCGACTCACACGGGCGAAGCTAGTACCTTAGCACAGATAGTGCGACTGGTAGAAGAAGCGCAGAGCAGTAAGGCCCCCGTGCAGCGGCTGGCCGATAATATCGCTGGGTGAGTTTAGTTTAAACTCAAAAATAACTGTTCGTTTCGTTTCAGCCAAATGACGTCCACTGCTGGACAAAGGCCTCCTCCCCAAGGTTTTCCATAATGAACGGTCCTGCGCTGCCCGCATTCAGGCTCTTCCCGCGACCTTTACCAGATCGTCGGTCCACCTAGCAGGAGGCCTGCCCACGCAACGTCTTCTAGCCCGTGGTCAATTTTTTTTTATACACAACGAGGAAGCTCTTGGTCTGTATCTCACCTGATGGTAGGTGATGATCAGACCGAAGGTGGAAGCGAGCTTCACCCGGAATCCTCAACCACGGAGGAACTGGCTATCTTACCTCTAACTGCCGGAACACAACAATGCTGTTAACATTGTTGTTATGGTGACAGACTTAGGTAAGATGGTGGTAGCTAGCCAGGCGGACTTAGAACAAGCCCTACCACCAACCAAACCGACCAGAAAAATCTGCCCCCACTGGGAATCGAACCCGGGAAATCGAACTCTGCGTCTGAAGCAGGTGGTCTTACCACTAGACCACAGAGGCGGTTAGATAACTGTATTTGTTCGTTAATATAGATCTAAGTGCATATCGCTGTCAATGCCTAAGGAATGGGTGCAACACGGGAGGGGTGACACGTAATAACATTATGACGTGAGAGAAGCATACAAGTCTGAAACACATCTGAAGTCTTGCTGACGTTTGATGTCTCAAAAACACCCTCCCGTTCCGCTCCCATACCTCAGGCACTGACTCAGTAATGCCAGGCCTGTTCATCTCCGCGAGTTTACATCGAAAACAAAACACGCACGATGGCCCACCTACAGGATACTATTCGACAAGGCCTCACATACGAAGCGAACATTGACTCACGCACGNAGCATTAATTATGATAGGACGGATCTTTAGTTAACAAAGATCTTCGGTCATCGAATGTGATTTGCGATTTTTGATTGTTTTCTCGTGCGGTTTTGAGTAGTTAGTGTGTGAACGTGTGATAGTGAGTGTGGTAATAGTGAGTGAGTGTTAGGAATATGCCTAACCATACGTACAGTGCTCGTGAGTAGATACGTAAACATGGTTTACTGTTACGGAAGGCACGTGGAAACGCATCTGAAGTCGCATCGGTAAGTACCTAGCTCTAAACTTAAAGGAGATTCCTTTTTAATGTAGGAAGTGAATAATCTGGTAATTTTGTGTAGAAAATACTCCCGCCGTCGCGGTAGGTAGTGGCGGAAAGCGCTCCAATACACTCACACACAAATAGGAAACAGCAAACTAATTTAAAACGAACTTTAACTTTAGTTAGTCAAAGAAAAATACCTATTTACACTACCTACTTTACGTGGCTTCCTTCGGTAGACTATCCAACATGATAAGCGACCGATCCGCGTAGCTCGATGGGTGCCACAATGTAAACGTATTGCATTATTGCAAGCCATAGTACAGTTGATGTTGCACGGAAAATATTCGCTAAAAATTCCACTTTCGTTTGTAATTATTTTTTTGGTGGATAATGCGTTTATGTAAGTCATAATATATCACCTAAATAAAAATGGCGAGTATTGAAATCAACACCCTGTATACATTTAATAATATTTAAGAAATATTAATAATTATTATTCAAAAGCTGGAAATATTACAATAAATTATATAAACAGGAAGTTCGAATACATTATAACTAATAATATTAAAACGGATCCGGAAGTTGGAACTTCTCATTTTACAATATTTATTTTTGATTGAATATTAGCCAGTTGGTTTATTAATTTATTAATTCAATTATATTTAAGAAACATTAATAACCACTATTCAGAAGCCGGAAATCTTACAATAAATTCTTATTTGCAAACGGAAGTCTTAATTTTATCTGGCAGTTAATATGGCGGCTGTTTGATACTTGGTGTGTGTGATGTTATAGAAAGTTAACTTATAGTGTAGTTACTAATATTATTTATAGGTCACATTGAAATATTAATATCAATCAGGTATGTACATAATATAATTAATCTAACACGGCCATACTGACATGTACTTCGCTCTCGAAGTACCTATTTATCAATCAAATTATTTTTCTAATGTTGACATTCACCCATTTAATAGTTAATATTAAATAATTACAGTCTTACATTAAATAATTACAGTCTCAATAAACAGTTCAATTCTTAACTTAATTATTATATTATTTTAAAATCATTACAATTTAACCATCAACAGTATCGGTCCCATCATCAACAACAGTATAATGACCATCATCGGTCTCATCAACAACAGTATAATGACCATCATCGGTCTCATCAACTACAGTAATGACCATCATCGGTCCAATTTCTCACATAATTCCAGCAGCTTGTCGTTTCTGAATTTCAAGATAAACAAGAAATATATTTCATTTGCCAAAATCCTATATAGAAATATAGTGAGTTCCCCTGGCTGCAACCAGTCTTATAACACTTAATTTTATTACAATATAGTCTTAAGTCTGACCTAACATAGTTAGTTTATCCACCGCGTCAACCTCGGCACGCCCCTGCCGCGACGATCTAGCTGACCAGTGACACCAACAAGGATTGATAAAATAACCGTCCAGGGGCAGAAAGTCAGAGCCTGAAGTCCAGTAGGTAGGATCGCTACAAACCTTTGTTCAGGAAAGTCTTAGTCACAGTTCAAATTAAAGTCTTGTATAATTTTAAAGAAACAAAAGAAAAGAAACGACAAACTACTGGATAAACATTTAGGCTTAGGCAAACCAATGCTTAAATTTCTTATAATACATTATTTCAATTTCACATAAATACAAATCATAAAATACCCCATCTTTCGGACATCCATACATCCGTCCTTGAGCCAATAATGCCAATTTTGCCAAACAACTACAATTTCCACTCCTTTCAGAGCAAAAAAATGCCCGGAAGCATGAACAACCCGCAATATTGTTTCCAGAATCAAAACAAATTATGGTCCTCCAATAGTCTTGGGGACACGTAATAATATAAACCATCTACTAATGCAATGTTAGAATATGTCTCGACATGCCATGTAAGGGAACTGAAACTATTTCATACATATACATAATAATATCTTACATACAATAATAATATCTTAAAATTACTATAATCTTACTGAAACTTTTACAGAATTTAGCAATCTGTAAGCAGAGTTATTTAAAAGCTTAGAAAATGCGAGGTTAAGTTATAAACAATTTATAACAAAAAGCCCGATTTTAATTTGAACCAATTTTATTTCCTGTTTTTCATGTTTGTTCATGGGCATTTCCTTAGTAGAATCGAGTTTAAATTTAACAATTTACGAAATTATATTATAATTCTACTTGGTTTTAACTGTTAACACAATTTCTTGTGTAGGTACATAAAAATATCCTTGGACCTTTTCCGTGGACATTTACACCAAGTTTCTAGTCGCAAACTAAGCAACGTTTGTACTATGGATACTAGGATATAAACAAAATATAACGAAAAATAAAAAAAACGGATATAAAAAGGGTCGAACAAAGATAAGGGAAACCAGAGAAGAAAAATTAGAGAGAAGGAAAAAAATAGTTTCCTTGGATACCAAAGATTAATGACCATATAACTTGTCTTTTTTTTGCTTAGTCCAATAGGACACTAAATTATTTAAAAAAAAAAGTATCAATGAAATTAGGCAGAATTGAGAAGTTTTGACGAAATACCTTCATTCCTATTCTAGCTACTTACAAGAAGAAAATAAGAAGATAAAAATAGAAGAAAGAGAAAAAAAACATGGTACAAGAACTTAAATAAATAAACATAATAATACGGAACGCAATAACACCAGCCGTCATTAACAGCGTTAGTGAACAGACAAAATTATATCATTAGTTATTAATCACCATAAAGTTTGGACTGTTTATTACGATTACTTAATTGGGAAAAAAATATATATGTGCAAAACACACACACTATGACACTCCACCATACACTACACACTTGTAATATACCGACCATGCTACAGTGCTTGTTTAATTTAGTTTAATTTATAATATCTCATTTCATATTTATAAACTTTATAGATTTTAATACACAATTATTATTTGATTGGCGACTTGAAATTTAATAACGTATTCACATGTAATTTGCTTACTTAGTTTTTGAATTGTTTTAGTGTTCATTTATCTACCCACTTTAACTTATTTTAAAATGTTTTAGCGGTAGAATGTGTTTCTTTAACTGGCTTATGTTCAAGTTGTATCTTCCTCCACATTTACGTACCATTAAATGCTATTGAAACATTGTTAAACAAAATAAAATATAATAAAATTGCATAAAGCTGAATTCAAGGACTTATTTAATCATGTATTTGAAGAGTTGTTGTTTTTATTTCTCAAAATTTGATTAAAAAATGTATTTTACAAATAGATGTCTAAAGCTGAACTAGAGATTCATTTATAAACAAAGAAAATTGAAATACTTAATATTACCCTAAATGATTTATTTTGCCATATTTTATAAGTATTATATAGAAACAGTATCCGTAATAATATTAATCAACTAAATTTACGAATTATTGTCAATTTCTTAAATTTTAGTACATTTTAGTTGTACAACGACTAGTGCTAAGATAGGTAGGTTGTTTTCAATACAATGTTTCACATTTGTTTTATAGTGGGAATGAACTTGGTTTGAAATAATGTGTAATTTAAGAGAACGTAAGTGATTATAGTGTGATTGTGTGTAAAAGAGATTGTATAAGACGCTATCGGTAGAATCCAAATGATTAGAAATGAATCAAGGTATACAATATTATCAAGGACCTAGGTACCATTAAACAGTGATTAAATACATGGTATATTTGTTTTCACTGCTTTTTAGCACACGAGGCTGTAAAAAGACCCGTAGACTTTGGAATCGTTCGGCCAATCTGACATTTAAATACAAATTATTATGCGTTGAGCATATCAGAGACAGCATAAATTTTACATTCCACTGAATGGATGTACCGGTAGTAATCATGTATCTAATGAAGCAAGTGTTTTTAATAGTGTAAGTATACTAAATTTAGAAAAACCATCAATCAAGATTAGGATATGTACATAGCCTACAGTGGATTACATGAGTCGGAATGGCATGAAGGGGTAAAGCAGCAGACTACAGAAAAATGCCACGAGACTAGAAGAAAGACTTATCGAATATAATACATCCAAAAGAAGGAAATAACTAGACACGGTGTTAAATCATCCGGGCGGTGAGATAAAGAAGAGAAGAAGAGAAAAAAAAAAGACGTAGTGAATATATACGATTTTTTTTAAATTATTTTTGAAATTCATTAATTTTACTCGTCAATTTGACCAGACATATTTTCAAATATAATATTGTAGTTTAAATCTGACAAATTTTAGTTGTATTTGGTATCTAACTATGCGATTTTTTAATATGAAAACTATTTTTTTAATATTTTCCTACACAATGTATTTTGATTTTTGGAATAAATTTCATGCTTTGTTTTATTTTTTTTTTAATCTGACAAAGTCCCCCTATTTTCGACCATAAGTTAAACAACACTGCCATACGAGGACTATTTACTACCAGTACAATTCTGCTCTGAGGGATGTTTCTTAGATTTGATATTATACTAGAGCACAGCATTATCAGTTCAGATGGGTGTTACAATTTCACAACTTAATAAATACTAAAGCAAAGCCCCTAAGGGCCTTACCGGCCTTTGCGACGTCACCAAGCTGCTCCATCCAAACTCTTTCGATCTTTCTTCGAAGTATTTGCACCACCCTTCTGCACCGCTGCCGCCGGCCGCTGGCTCGAAGACTCGCAGCACCACATCTTCATCAGGTCTTCGATTCGAGAAAGCAGCATCCCATACGGTTTTCAGGTCTGAGCCAGAGAACAGGTTCCATTCTGAAACTTAGACAAGGACGTATTAGCAAAAGTGCTCGAATCCCACTTCTGATGTTAGATTTTTGGGCATTAGTCATTTGTAAATTAGGAATGTATTAAAGCAGATTCTTTAATTAATAAAGTTACCACAAAAAGAAGAATAATAGTAAGCAAAATCTAGCATAAATACTTTATGCTATATTCCTATCATAACGTATTATACCATGGAAATACGTAGGACTATAATACTGTAATTTAATAAGTTCCAAATTAAAAATCCAATTTCAAATTCAAATAGTTTATTCAGTATAAATCCCTTTTCCAGGGCATTTATACACGTCCCAAATATAGCTTGCCCTACCACCACTTCGGGACATCATGGGCTGGTGCTGAGAAGAAGTGGCGGAAGAAACTCAGTCACCTTTGTCAGCCTCTTTTCCAACCAGATACAACAATTTATAACTTACATAAAAATGAATAATCTAGCAGTAATTAAGTCTTATTTATTATTAACATTTTGACGGTATTTTGTATAACCAGTATTTATAATCAAACACACAGAACACAAGTTCTAAGTTAGGTTACGTTAAGACTTAGGTTTTGGTTAGGTCAAGAGTTAGATTTAGGTTAGGTTAAGACTTAGGTTTTGTACCATAACATAACCAGCAACTATTAGCATTGTCCTTCTTTATACTGGTCAACAAACTACCGACCCGACCCCGTGGCATGTCACCATCAATTGGCCAGGTGTCAAAATAATAGCCCTGGCGCAGCCACATAGCCAGGTGTTAATACAATATCACATATCACAATAATACAATACAATAACACAACAAGCACAATAATAGTACCAATAAACAGTGTACACTTAACTTTGGTCAGCATCACCTCAAAGATCCATCGAGACTGCCTTTCAACGAGGAATTCCATATATTTATACCCATCTCCTACCTTTCCTCTACTCAACTCTGATTGGTCACTTAAGACGACCAATCAGAAAACAGGAAGTTAGATAAAATATAATTAACATTTAAACGGACCCGGAAGTTGGAATTTCTCATTTTACAATATTTTTTTTGATCAAAGGATAGTAAGGCTTATTAATTATACATTTAATAATATTTAAGAAATATTAATAATTATTATCCAAAAGCTGGAGATCTTACAACAAATTCTATAAACAGGAAGTTCGAATATATTATAACTAATAATATTAAAATGGACCCGGAAGTTGGAACTTCTCATTTTACAATATTTATTTTTTGATTGAATATTAGCCAGTTGGCTTATTAATTTATCAATTAAAATATATTTAAGAAACATTAATAACCACTATTCAGAAGCCGGAAATCTTACAATAAATTCTTATTTGCAAACGGAAGTCCTAATTTTATCTGACAGTTAATATGGCGGCTGTTTGATACTTGGTGTGTGTGATGTTATAGAAAGTTAATTAATAGTGTAGTTACTAATATTAATTATAGGTCACATGAAATATTAATATCAATCAGGTATGTACATAATATAATTAATCTAACACACGCGTATTCTTGTGTATGATGGAAGAAAATAAAGAAAATGGTGTACTAAATACTGTGCAGTATTTAACTGCCTAAATAATAATAAAAACACAGAATGTACTTTTTTAAGTTGACACTGAGAGGTAAATAAGTAGTTAATATTATTCATGATAATTCATGCTAAATCATGTATTTCCTCCGCCATTTTCCGCAGTTTGGCACCTCACGTCACATCATTTTACCGAAGTCAGCCCTATAGCTTCGGCGCAGTGCCGATCACTGACGTTTGTCAACAAAATGGTGCTTGACTCTTGAGACAGGCTAAATTACACCATATTGTTAATGACATTGAGCATGCATTTTTTTAAATACCTTCGCGAAGTAAAACTTCTGTACGTAGTACTTATTATTATTCTGTGGTAATGCGCTATATTTACGTTAAAAAGAAAGGTCTAAAAAAGTTAACAGGGCCATGTTTCACCTGTACCCTGGTACTGGCATTTGTACCCTAGTAAAGAGATCTGGGGTACAATTGCACCCAAAGTTGTGGATGTAAACTAAGAATGTCTTTAATCCAGGAGGAGGAGTGGTCCCTTTTAATCGCCTGTATGTATTACTTGACGCTATTATTGTTGGTATTGCGCATCATTTCCTATATTCTTCTGATTGAATTCTTTGTTGGTAAACCCTTCTGGATAACTCAATCTTCACTAGTTAGATTTCAAAAGCCAAATTGTAGATTTGTCTATACGGGAGATGCATTTGTGGGAAAGAGAGGTGAGATCAGTATTTCTTTCTAACATTGATATTCTTCAACAGCTACTTCGTCCCGCTGGTGATGTTCCTGTCGCTGCTGACGCTCGTCTGCTGGATCATCAGCGGCGCCATCAACATTCAGAACATCAAGAATATCACGCCGGTATGTATTCATTAATTTGTTCGTTCGTTTCAGCCAAATGACGTCCTCTGCTGGACAAAGGCCTGCCACAAGGATTTTCATAACGACCGGTTCTACGCGACAGGCAGGCACCTCCCTCGACTTTCACCAGATCGTCGGTCCACCTAGTGGGAGGCCTCCACACTACGTCTGGTCGCCACTCGAGAACTTTTCTGCCCCAGCAGCTATTAGCTCTACGAGCTATGTGCCACGCCCTCATATTTTAAAGACTGAAAAAGAGGCTGACAATAGTGACTTGAGTTTCTTGCGCTGCTTCTTCTCAGCACTGGCCCATTTATGGTCCCGAAGCAGTGGTAGGGTCCATACTGGGACGTGTAAAAGTACTTTTTAAAAGCCTACTAAAGCCTGGTCCGTGAGCACGTAGAATTTTGTCCAATGACCCCTAGCTACCCATCCTTATCGCTCGCGCGTAATTATTTTGCGACTGTGCGACGGGTGCCCGCAGTGAGTGTGCGAGCGCGACAGCAACATAATTACGCGCGAGCGATAAAGATAGGTAGCTTGGGGTCATTGGACAAAATTCTACGTGCTCACGGACCAGGCTTTAGCATAAATTAATGAGTTTTATAACTTTTTTAGTTTCACACCTTGTTTTTCCCCAGGATATGTACCTAAACAAGTTCACCCGCTGGGAGTTGATTGTCCAAACGGCGTTCCTTGCTTAAATTAATGAGTTGAGGGTTTTCGCGATTGAAAAATTCGCCAGATCGCAATACGTGGACGCGAGGTCCAATGCTGCATGATTGGTTATTTTTGACATGACATTGACAGATTGTTTATTGTTTATTAGACACGCGGGATTATTCGTCAATGTTAGAAAAATCCACTCACCTATGTTCTTATCAATTCTCGGCACCTGATTATGACATTTTTAATTATTTTAACCACAATTTTATAATTTCTACTCAATTTAATCACAATTTTATAAAAGTTAAGTTAATTGTAATTAGTAGGTATGTATTGCTAAAACCGATTGATAATTTTTGTTACGTGGCTGGTGGACGTGGCAAATGTCAAATCAACTTGATGACAAATGATACTTTTTTTTTATGTATTTTTTTTTTCTCTTCTGTCTCTGCCTCGACTTTTATGGTTTTTGTTTTGACATGTCTATGTATGAATTTTATTAATATTGTTATGTTTTTAATTTAATTATAAAAGATAAAAATTTTTTTTTAAATAATATACTTTTTTTTCCACAGATTCCCTAGTAATAGGCGGCAGTATAAACCAGAACGGAGCTTTGTTAATGCGAGCGACTCACACGGGCGAAGCTAGTACCTTAGCACAGATAGTGCGACTGGTAGAAGAAGCGCAGAGCAGTAAGGCCCCCGTGCAGAGGTTGGCCGATAACATTGCTGGGTAAGTTTATCTTTCTCTAGGACTACAAAAAATTAAGTGTTTTACCGTTTCACATTTATTAAGAACATTTTTAATAAACCAGGGTGCATTTGTACCCTGGTAAACAGTAGGGGTACAACTGCACTCAAAAATAATAAACGTCATATAGTTTAGGAATGTCTCATCGCAAACATTCCTTAACTTTTTTTATTTTATTAGCTTGTATTACCAATTGTGTGCCAGTTGTTTTTATCTATCATAGAAGAAAGTTTTTTGTTTTGTTTAATTTATTGTAAGTTGGTACCTGGTAAACCTTTATTTCTAACATCATTTATATTTTGAACACCTGAATTGTTCTGATTAAGTTCGTTACGGGTTCCAAGATATTAAAATCTCCAGTGACTAAAATTATTTAGGGCCGTACAATTTCCCAAAGGGACGGGACCCTCCCCTGCCTAAGTACTAAGTACGCCTCTAGAGCAAATATTCTGGCTATACAGGAGTTCCAGCCGTGGAAAACGGGACTATTCCCACCTGTCGTTCTCACCGCTGCAACTCCTGTGTAGCCAGGATCTGCAGCTTGACCGCCATTACAAACCCAACTAGTGAAAGTCAAGTTTGTCCCGGGGAAAGTCAAACTGTCATTGGACCCGCAACGAAATTAATCAGGAGAACATAGGAGGAGTTCGAAATTAAGGTTCGACTTCCCTCTATTGCAAAGCGGATGACAGATCATTGGTCCAGCGAGGGTAAAGAGAGGTAAGATTAGTATAGTTCCAAAATACTAAACTGTCCTATCCATGACATTGACAGTGGGGCGCCACCGTCTATACCGGATCGCTGGTTCCGATTTTTGCCATGTTGGAAACCATATAGTTGAACGATGGTAGCGCCCCCCTGTCATTGAGTTTGGTGGGACAGTTCAGCGTGGGTCATCTATATTTCTTTCTAACATTGATATTCTTCAACAGCTACTTCGTCCCGCTGGTGATGTTTCTGTCGTTGCTGACGCTCGTCTGCTGGATCATAAGCGGCGCCATCAACATACAGAACATCAAGAATATCACGCCGGTATGTATTCATTAATTTGTTCGTTCGTTTCAGCCAAATGACGTCCTCTGCTGGACAAAGGCGCCAAGGATTTCCATAACGACCGGTCCTGCACGACAGGCAGGCACCTCCCGTGATCTTCACCAGATCGTCGGTCCACCTAGTGGGAGGCCTATCCACACTACGTCTGGTCGCCACTCGAGAACTTTTCTGCCCCAGCAGCTATTAGCTCTACGAGCTATGTGTCACGCCCTCATATTTTAAAGACTAAACCATTGAAAAATAGGCTGACAATAGTGACTGAGTTTCTTGCGCTGCTTGTTTTCAGCACTGGCCCATTTATGGTCCCGAAGCAGTGGTAGGGTTAATATTGGGACGTGTAAAAGTACTTTTTAAAAGCCTACTAAAGCCTGGTCCGTGAGCACGTAGAATTTTGTCCAATGACCCCAAGCTACCCATCCTTATCGCTCGCACACTCATTGCGGGCGCCCGTCGCACAGTCGCGACAGCAATATAATTACGCGCGAGCGATAAGGATGGGTAGCTTGGGGTCATTGGACAAAATTCTACGTGCTCACGGACCAGGCTTTAGCATAAATTAATGAGTTTTTAGTTTCACACCTTGTTTTTTTCCCCCAGGATATGTACCTAAACAAGTTCACCCGCTGGGAGTTAATCATCCAAACGGCGTTCCTTGCTTAAATTAATGAGTTGAGGGTTTTCGCGATTGAAAAATCCGCCAGATGGCAATACGTGGACGCGAGGTCCAAATGCTGCATGATTGGTTATTTTTGACATGACATTGACAGATATGTCGAAATCCACCAATCACACAGCAGTCAGACCCTACATCCACGTCCCGCCATCTGGAGGATTTTTAAATCGCGAAAACTCAAGTTTTTTAATTTGAATTTGAATGTGACATCTTATTTTCAACCGACTTCAAAAAAAAGGAGGAGGTTCTCAATTCGACCCGTATGTTTTTTTTTTCTATGTTTGTTACGCGATAACTCNATGGAGTCACTAAGTCACTGTCGCGTCGCTGCGGAGTCACTGTCGTGTCACTATAGAATCACTGTCGCGTCACTATGGAGTCACTGTCGCGTCGCTGCGGAGTCACTGTCGCGTCGCTATGGAGTCACTGTCGCGTCACTATAGAGTCACTAAGTCACTGTCGCGTCGCTGTGGAGTCACTGTCGCGTCACTAAGTCACTGTCGGCGCTCGCCATCGCGTGTCCGTGCGCGCTGGGGCTGGCCACGCCCAAGGGCGCCAAGCCGCTGGAGAACGCGCACAAGGTGGGGCGTGACGAGCGAGGTGGGTCATGACGCACAACGTGGGTCATGACGCGCGAGGTGGGTCATGACGCACAACGTGGGTCACTATGGAGTCACTGTCGCGTCGCTGTGGAGTAACTAAGTCACTGTCGCATCGCTGTGCAGTCACTGGGTGGTTCATGACGCGCGAGGTAGGTCATGACGCACAAGGTGGGTCACAATGAAGTCACTCAGGGTGCGGCGTGGGTGCCGAGCCGCTGAAGAACGCACACAAGGTGGGTCACGACACTCAATGTACGAGATGGCGAGCCCAGTACGGCTAGCACGAAAAACTTTCGAGTTCGAATCGCCATAAAAAGATTTAGTACGAAAACTACAACAGCGCCCTTGTGAACGTGTCGTAAAGTGAACTTAGTATGAGAAATGCTTGCACGAAACTTATTTTGAGAATGAAAATTGTCACTTTATCGTTTAATTCCGCGCGAGGCGGGTCACTATGGAGTCACTGTCGCGTCGCTGCGGAGTCACTGTCGCGTCACTATGGAGTCACTGTCGCGTCACTAAGTCACTGTCGGCGCTCGCCATCGCGTGTCCCTGCGCGCTGGGGCTGGCCACGCCCACCGCCGTCATGGTGGGCGCCGGCGTGGGCGCCGCCCAGGGGCTGCTGCTCAAGGGCGCCGAGCCGCTGGAGAACGCGCACAAGGTGGGGCGTGACGCGCGAGGCGGGTCACGGTCATGACGCTCGATTCGGGTCACGGTCATGGCGCGCAAGGCGGGTCACGGTCATGACGCTCGAGGCGGGTCACGGTCATGGCGCGCAAGGCGGGTCACGGTCATGACGCGCGAGGCGGGTCACTATAGTGTCACTGTCGCGTCACTAAGTCACTGTCGCGTCACTAAGTCACTGTCGGCGCTCGCCATCGCGTGTCCTTGCGCGCTGGGGCTGGCCACGCCCAAGGGCGCCAAGCCGCTGGAGAACGCGCACAAGGTGGGGCGTGACGAGCGAGGTGGGTCATGACGCACAACGTGGGTCATGACGCGCGAGGTGGGTCATGACGCACAACGTGGGTCACTATGGAGTCACTGTCGCGTCGCTGTGGAGTAACTAAGTCACTGTCGCATCGCTGTGCAGTCACTGGGTGGTTCATGACGCGCGAGGTAGGTCATGACGCACAAGGTGGGTCACAATGAAGTCACTCAGGGTGCGGCGTGGGTGCCGAGCCGCTGAAGAACGCACACAAGGTGGGTCACGACACTCAATGTACGAGATGGCGAGCCCAGTACGGCTAGCACGAAAAACTTTCGAGTTCGAATCGCCATAAAAAGATTTAGTACGAAAACTACAACAGCGCCCTTGTGAACGTGTCGTAAAGTGAACTTAGTATGAGAAATGCTTGCACGAAACTTATTTTGAGAATGAAAATTGTCACTTTATCGTTTAATTCAAAGGATGAGTACTTGAGTATCGAATTTTGTCGAATACGCAAACGATTTGAAGACGAAAGTTGTTCATGCTAGAGGTACAGATCACAAGGTGGAGTCAGAGAGCGTCACGCCGGTGTCACGGAGCGTCACTATGTCACTGTCGCGTCACTGCCACGTCTCGTTCACTGCCACGTCTCTGTCACTGCGATATTACATTTACAGCTGATCATGTGAGATAAGATACAGAAATTGAATCGCAGTGCTGTCGCAGCAAATTTCAAGAGTAATATATTTCTTTTCATGTTTTTTGTGTCTTTACTATACAATTTTAATTGAATGCAACAGCGTTTAAACCTATATTTTTACCTCTTACCCCAAATATCTAAAAGACTGGCTTTAAAATGCTCTGTTTACAGGCATTTATATTCACTCAATAATTCATTGTAATAGTCTGGCTTTTATAATGCCCTTTGTACATACATTTAAATTCACCCATATTTATTAATTTCAGGTGAAAACAGTGATATTCGACAAGACCGGCACTATAACACGCGGCAGTATGGCAGTGGCCCACGTGTCGCTTCTAACCGGATCAGCCAACACATTACCGGACGTGGTCGCTTGTCTACTGGCTGCTGAGACAAACTCTGAGCATCCGGTCGCTGCAGGTAAAAAATATAACATGTAGTTGCCAAAACCGCATCCAAATCGATTCACACGTTTGAGAGCTGACCACAGACAGACATGTAACACCCCTCTTTTTGCGTTGGGAGTTAAATAACAAAAATAACCAAGATATTTGAAACGTTGGATAACTGTTACTTGAAGCATAAAATTATTGTTGGTTGAATAAATAAATTAATAAAAACTACTTTTAGACATAATTCCTACACAGATCTCTCTCTATCTCTATGCCAAATAATACTGAAAATTAAAATAGAAAAGTTAGTTGTGTGTATAGAAAGAATAAAACTTTCTTATACGAAAACACATAATATGTCAAACATGTTATATCACAAGTTTTGCTTAATTTGCGACTAAAGGTAGTGTAAAATATTTTTTTTTTGTAAAACAACTGATGCCTAAACTAAGTCTGACAAGATTAACTTATCAATCAAACATTATTTCCCAACAGCAATAGTGAAATGGTGCACATCAGTACTAGGCGAGAGCACTCCTCTAAAATGCGTGGGGTTCGTCGCAGCACCAGGCTGTGGACTCCGCGCTAGATTGAGGACGAAAAGGGACCAGAGTGTGGATATACCTTCGTTGAAAAACGTGCTGAATCAAGCCAAGTAAGTGTGAAAAAGTTTGAGTGCATTTGTACCCTAGTGAGGTGTGGTGGAGTGCAGTTGTACCCTTCGCAGTGAAGTCGCATAATAGACACAGCTGTTTTAACACGCGTCTAAAGTGCGTGGGTTTCGTCGCAGCACCAGGCTGTAGATTACGCGCTAGATTGAGGACGAAAAGAGACCAGAGTGTGGATGTACCTTCGTTGAAAAACCTTCTCAATCAGGCCAAGTAAGTGAGTGAGGTGTGGTAGGGTGCGATTGTACCCTGGGTGCATTTGTACCCCAGTGAGGTGTAGTTAATCACTAAACAGCAACGCACGACATTTTAACTAGATTACATCATCAATACTAACTTGGGGTACAATATTGTACTCCACTAAAATATTATTTTATTTTTGTAATGGCAAGTCATAGTTATAAAATGGCCAACAAAGTTTTTCAGCCGCATTACTAACCCTCTAGATGTAAAATCTAATCTTATTTTAGTAAAATCATTGTTGCCATCACCATCTGTGTCATGTCATATCTATGTCTGGCGAATAAATGATTTCATTTCATCACTAGCTTTCCTTCCGCGCGTGGAATTTTTTATGTGATAGAAAAATGTTATCGCGCGCGTCCCTGTTTCAAAAACAGGGATAAAAACTATCCTATGTCCTTTCCCGGGACTCAAACTATCTCTATGCCTTTCATCGGTTCAGTGGTTTAGGCGTAAAAGCGACACAGCCAGACAGACAGAGTTACTTTCGTATTGATAATTAGTATAGATGATATATTTTTATCTGCATCAGGGTGGGCAATTCCTTCGAGCTACACGGCGTATGCGTTCAAGTGTTGGCCAGCGACGGCGACGCTGCCTTAAGTTCAGCGCAGGCCGCTGCCAGGCTGCACACGCTGATCAAGACTGACAATGAGGGAGAGGTGAGTCTTTATGCCTATACAGGGTGTTTGGTAAATGGGTATATGAGCCGACACTAGCCCATGTTAACACATGCATATAAATGGTATGGTGAAGTCAGAAAATTGATATCATAATTTTAATTATTTTAATTTTCATACAAATCTGATTTTATAAAATTTATTTTGTATGAAAATTAAAAAATTGAAATGATGATATCAAATTTCTGACTTCACCATACCATTTATATGACCATGTTAACATGGGCTAGTGTCGGCTCATATACCCATTTACCTAACACCCTGTAGAACGTGTGGCTTATGTCTTTTACTTCTAGTACCCTTTGTACTACAAAGTTCGAGACTATATTGATGACAAGGATGCGTGGTCAGTTCAGTCTGCACATATTTGATGTACTTAAATTTGGTTATTCTTACCGTTAGATAACTCCTGGCAATAAGTGGTGACTGAGTTTGTTCCGGCGTTTCTTCTCAGCACTTGCCATATGTTTGTCTCGAAGCGCTGGTAGGGCCCAAAAGATAAGGAGACATGTAAATGTAAAGTGCCCAATAAGGGCTACCTTTTCTTTTTTATTATTTACTATTGACGTTCATAAGTGCCACTTGTGGTCTAAACTGAGTAAATATTTTTGATTTTGATTTTTAGAAAAGAGCTTTATTGATCGGTAAAAATTATTCGTTTCAGCCAAATATTGTCCACTGCTGGACAAAGGCCTTCCCCAAAGACTTCCACAACGATCGTCACCATTCGTCTGTCCACCTAGCGGAAGGCCTGCCCACAATACGTCTTCCGGCTCAAGGTTGCCACTTATGACCTCTACTGCTCTAACGGCCTATGCTGGCCTGATTATTAGTTAAGCTCGTCGAACTAATCAATCAATTCAAATCAAAAATATTTTATTCTTTAACCAATTTTTTTTTGGCACTTATGATGTTGTACAGTGTGATATTATACGAGCTAATTTAATCAGATCGTAACTAAATACTTTTCCAAATGCTCAATTAGTATAAAAAGTTTGTGTAACAACTTTTATTTTTTTCGTAAACAAATCACAAATATCCCTGTTACTCCTCCAATTAAGTAAGCTACATATTCTTGATTCAGGAGCGGGTATACATTGAACTAGTGGTATACAGAATGTAAACGTATATATTTATTCTCACAGGAAGTGGAGCAGGTGGTGTTGATAGGCAACCGGAAGTGGATGAACAGGAACGGGGTTCCCGTTCCGCGATCAGTCCTGGAGGCTCTCTTGAGGGATGAGGAGTTAGGACGGACAGCAGTACTGGCTGCTATTAACGGTGAGACAAACTTATCATCATCATCAGATCATTTAGTCTCCAGGCTAGTTTCCTAAAAAAAATTTTTTAGTCCGTCATGTTTAATATCAAAAAATATTGGACATGTATATTTTTATTTGTCAATCTAACAAATAATTACATAGTTATGGTGCGTTGAAGTTCCGCGCGACGTCACACAGTGCGGCACTTTTAAACACTCATTGACGTCACGGGCCTCTTGTCTTGAACTTTGGCGCGCTTTATCTCTTTAAATTTTCATTAGTTTGAAAAAGTGAAAAATACCTACGTGTAGAGTATTTTTTAATAAGTTAACTAAAGGAATAGTTAAAACTCCTGCTTTTGACCCAGGAAACATCACTCCCCACGATGGCCATTTATCCCTTAATCGCCATTAAACGCTCGCGGTCAAATACCTGCCTTGTCAAGCATAAAAAAAAAACTTATTAATCCCAGTCAATTCTTGTTTCTTCTTATCACCAGCCAGTGCTGCTCATAGCAGCGTCACTCAGATACTTTAGAGAATGACTGGTAGATAATGCCATTTGGCATTAAGTCCGCCACTGTGCATTGTTTTTATGTGCAAAAAGTTTAAATAAATAAACAAAAACAAAGTACTCGTGAAATAAAAGTGTAAAAGTGAATTGAAAGATATCAGAAAGGGACTAAAGTCTGGACTAATAAATGTTTAATAAAAATAATGAACTAAATTTTATATTGTGTCAATGTTTTGCTTACTTATAGCAATAATTTTCTATCCATTTCAGACCAGCTAGTGTGCACAATAGGCATTTCAGACGAGGTGAAGCCCGAAGCCCATTTAGCGGTGTACTGCCTCAAGAAAATGGGCTTGGAAGTGTGTCTGCTTACGGGAGACAATCGCAAGACTGCCGTGGCTATAGCGCGACAAGTAAGTCCTTCACACCCTGTATCACAGTCATATATAGTACTTATTACACCCTGTGTCATGACCCTGTGTAGTACTTAACCCTATATCATGGCCTTGTGTAGTACTTACACCCTATATGTCATAGCCCTGTGTAATACTGCACAGTCCTGTATAAAACGCAGACCTGTATCATAGCCCTGTATAGTACGTAGCTTTTTATCTGTATTTAGTACTGTGCGTAGTCATGTATAGCAGCTTTGTATATCACATAACCCTGTTTTGTATGTAGCCCTGTGTAGAACCTACACCCTGTATCATATTTCCTGATGACCGGAGACATACGAGACTGTAATACTACGCAGCCCTGTATAATACTATGTAGTCTTGTATAATACTATGTAGTCCTGTATAACACTATTTATTTTTTCTCAGGTCGGCATAAACAAGGTATACGCAGAGGTGCTGCCCTCACATAAAGTGGCGAAAATACAGAAACTGCAAGAACAGGGACAAAAAGTTGCTATGGTAAGCTACTTCGTTTAGAAATAGAAATAAAACAAAGCTGAGTTAGTATTACTCTAGAACGGCTGGACACATTTTGATGGTATTTGGTATTGAGGTAGTGGGCAAAAGATGATAACACAGCCTTATTCCAATAAAATTGTAACAAAGACGTGTTGCGAACTTATTGCCTATTTTAGATTTTACAATCTATTTGATGCTGACAAGGCAATGCAAGCTGCGCCCTGGAAAGGACTTATGTATTGAGTAAATTACTTGATTTGATTTGGCTACCTGTATAAAGAAGAGCCTGGATGCGGGCAGCGCAGGACCGTTAATTGTGGAAAACCTTGGGGGAGGCCTTTGTCCAGCAGTGGACGTCATTTGGCTGAAACGAACGAATCTGTATATAGTTCCAAAATACTGAACTGTCCTATCAATGACATTGACAGCGGGGCGCCACCGTCAATACCGGATCGCTGGTTCAGATTTTAGCCATGTTGGAAACCATATAGTTGAACGATGGTAGCGCCCCCCTGTCATTGAGTTTGGTGGGACAGTTCAGCGTGGGTCATCTATACCGCCATGTATTTGTGTTTGACAGGTTGGTGACGGCGTGAACGATTCGCCAGCGCTCGCTCAGGCCGACGTCGGAATTGCCATCGCCAGTGGAACCGACGTCGCCGTAGAGGCCGCTGATCTCGTACTCATGAGGGTAAGTAATTATTATCAAGTCATTCATCTGGAAAATCTCCATTTGCCAGACTGAATTACATTGTGGAATTCAGAGAGATTGAGAAAGTGTAATAATACTTTGTAGAAAATTAATGACATTTAGTAGTATGTTAATGAAATTTTGAGAAAGTGACCATATTTTGACGCATTTGACGTTTGCGTCAAAATTGTGTAATCATCTATAGTCCAACGATTCTGAACCGTCAAGTGACTAAAATTGGAATTAATTGCCCAGTATTGATAGAAGCGCGCTTCTTTAAATGACATAATTAAGTATGTGGGACTCTTCAGGGTTGTCCAACGTGACAAAAATCGGAATTAATTACCCAGTATTTATAGTAGCGCCCCCTGTCAATGTCAAAGCTTGACGGTTCAGTGTTAGACAACTTTAAGGCTGATTGCACCACCTAACTTTGACCGTAACTTCAACGGTGTTTTTTGTATGGAGTTTGACAGATTTTTGACATTATTCAAAGTTAAAGTAAGATGGTGCAACCCAGCTTAAGTATTTATTGTATTGGTCTCAAGTTCAAATATTTGCGATGACGAAAGATAAGCTTGTTTACGTAATTCCTTATTTATTATTATTATTTCAGAACGATTTACTAGACGTAGTGGCGTGTCTCACTCTCTCTCGAGCGACAGTGCGGCGCATCCGACTCAACTTCATCTTCGCCTCAGTGTATAATCTGCTGGGAATCCCGCTGGCAAGCGGCGCCTTCGCTGCCTATGGGCTACAGCTGCAGGTAAGGTTCCAAGATCGATTCCAAAAGGGAGCATGCTTTCCTTGCCTTGGTAGGGCTTGTCCTAAGTCCGCCTGGCTAGCCACCACGATAGATAGATAGCTAGACTGGCATGAGCGTGAGGGGAGGCAATCTAACGGGGAGGAGGGGATATTCTGGCTCTAATAGGGGACAGTGTGACTCAAGGAGGGGACAGTCTGGCTCAAATAGTGGACAGTCTGGCTCAAGAAGGGGACAGACTGGCTCAAGGAAAGTATACTGGCTCAATGAGGGGACAGTTTGGCTCAATGAAGGGACTATTTGGCTCAAAGAAAGGATAGTTTGCCTCAAGGGAGGGGGGGGGGGCGACTTGTCATATAGTATGAATGACCTGCTAGACGTGGTGGCGTGTCTCACTCTCTCCCGAGCGACAGTGAGGCGCATCCGACTCAACTTCATCTTCGCTTCAGTATACAACCTGCTGGGAATTCCGTTGGCCAGCGGCGCCTTCGCTGCCTATGGGCTACAGCTGCAGGTAAGACTGGGAGTAGGGGACAGTCTGGCTCAAGCAGGGGACAGTCTGGCTCAAAGAGGTGACCGTATGGCTCAAAGGAGGGACAGTCTGGCTCAAGTATTGGACAATCAGACTCAACGAGGGGACATTGGCTCATAGGAGGCCAGTCTGACTCAAGGAGAGGACAGTTTGGCTCAGGGAGGAAATGACTGGCTCAATGAAGGGACTGTCTGGCTCAAGGAGGGGATTGACTGGCTTAATCAGGGGACATCTGGATCAAAGGTGGGGGGAGGGCGACTAGTCCTATAGTAAGAATGACCTGCTAGACGTGGTAGCGTCACTCTCTCCCGAGCGACAGTGCGGCGCATCCGGCTCAACTTCATCTTCGCCTCAGTATACAATCTGCTGGGAATCCCGCTGGCTAGTGGCGCCTTCGCTGCCTATGGGCTACAGCTGCAGGTAATACTGGGAGTAGGGGACAGTCTGGCTCAAGCAGGGAACAGTTTGGCTCATGGAGGGGACACTCTGGCTCCAAGGAGGGACAGTCTGGCTCAAGCAGGGGACAGTCTGGCTCAACGAGGGGACATTGGCTCATAGGAGGCCAGTCTGACTCAAGAAGGGGACAGTCTGGCTCAAGAGATGGGCATCCTGGATAAAGGGAGAGGGGGGGGGGCAACTAGTTTTAGTATGGTAGCGTGTCTCACTCTTTCCAAAGCGACAGTGAGGCGCATCCGACTCAACTTCATCTTCGCCTCAGTATACAATCTACTGGGCATCCCGCTGGCTAGTGGCGCCTTCGCTGCCTATGGGCTACAGCTGCAGGTAACTAAAGAAAGAAAGAAGGAAAAACATTTATTTACACTACACACACATTGGAGCTGGATCGGACCTGAGTTAGATTTCCAGAGTGGAGCATTTTATAAGGATTCCGAGCGAAATGCAGTCAGATAGTTTCTGGGTAAGAAGGGGGCAGTCTGATCCAAAGGGTGGACAGTCTGACACAGGGGGGTAATATCAAACAGGGGCCGTCAGACCTGGAGGAGGGTAATCTGACATAGAAGGGGGTACAGTTTGAAACAGAGGAGGGGCACTCTGACATTGAGAGGTAGTCTGACCCAGTGGGTTCAAATAGGGAGACTGTCTGACTTAGGGTGTGGGCTCAATGTGATGTATTCAGGCTATAGCTATACCTACGCATTTATGTTGTATCGAGTGTCGACGCGCTGTGTTTCTTTTCTAAATAAACCAGTCAGTCGCGGACCACCGTGTTGTCAATTTGCTCCCGTAGTTAGTACCTATATCGATATACAGAAACTACAATAAAGAGGGACAGTCTGACCCCAGGGAAGCTTGTAAAAAGAACTACACGGAAAGAATTAACTTTTGCTTGAATGGAATAATACCTTGTTGTATTGTATGTCCACAGCCGTGGATGGCATCAGCAGCTATGGCGATGAGTTCAGTATCCGTCGTCTGCTCAAGTTTATTGCTCAAGACGTAAGTAAAACCCTATATTTTTACCTATATTTGGAGAAATATACTCTCTTCTGAATACTGGCCCATTTATTGTCCCGAAGTAGTAGTAGGGTTAAAGTAATACTAGGACCCGCGTCCCAGTAGGCTTCTAAAAAGCTCTTTACACGTGCAGAAGTGTAAAGAGCTTTTTAGAAGCCTACTTGCAAAAGAAACGAGTTTGACTTGATAAATACTTTGTCGGCCTTTTGGTGTAGTGGTTCGAAACGGACTACTATTCCGGAGGTAGCGGGTTCGATTCCCGCACAGTACAAACATTTGTGTGCATGAACATATTTGTTTGTATTGGACTGGGTGTTTTCTATGTATAATAAGTATGTATTTACAAAAAAAAAAGTATTTAAGTATGTTTATATCCGTTGTCTAGTACCCATAGTACAAGCTTTGCTTAGTTTGGGACTAGAAGCGTAGTGTAAAATGTCCAAGGATATTTATTTATTTATATCTTGTAACTCCTCCTATGTTCTTCTGATTAATTGCGTTCCGGGTCCAATGACAGTTTAACTTTCCCCCGGGACAAACTTGACCTTCACTGGTTGGGTTATTGGCGGTCAAGCTGTAGATCCTGGCTACACAGGAGTTGCAGTGGGAATGAGAGGTGGGAATAGTCCCGTTGATAATTTGTTTGTATGTAATTTGGAACTCAAATGTTTCAAAGGATTTTTTGTTTCTTTCAATAATTAATAACCAACCGGTGTTTCCAGCTTCAAACAAATATCATCGACGTTTGTTGAATAACTTTACCTATCTTTCGTTCGTTATAGTTTTAAAATAAGCCTTTAAAAACTGTATTGCTCATAAGTTGTGTGTTTTACAAAATCGCCTGTATTCACATACATTACTATGAGGTCTCACAGTGCGCGTGGACACACAAACGAATCGCAGAGCTCTATTCAACGCTGTGCGTTCGATTTGCTGCTTCACTTAAGCAAGCATCGTTTGTGAATACGGGCGAATGTTAACTTAATAATAAATCGGTTTCCAGCTTCAAGAAAGCGACAGCAGAGGAACTGACTACCCCAGAATACCTGCAGTCGATACACTTAGAGGAACTGGACTCGGTGTCTGTGCACCGAGGGTTAGATGATAGATTGGATCCATCCGGCAGGGCAGCTTCGCCTCTTGCCAAGTTAGTATAATATCTATAAGGTCACTGACTGACTCACTCATCATCATTTTCAGCCACAGGACGTCCACTGCTGAACATAGGCCTCCCCCAATGCTTTCCATGTTGTCCGGTTGGTAGCGGCCTGCGTCCAGCGCTGTCCTGCTACCTTTATGATGTCATCGGTCCACCTTGTGGGTGGACACTGACTCACTCACTCATCACGAAATCTCAGAAACTACAAGTGTCTCAAATTTTGCATGGGGTTCCTTTTAAAGCGTAGGTGCTCAAATTTTACATGGGGGTTCCTTTTAAAGCGTAGGTGCTCACTAAGACGAAAGAGGTAAAACGGGATCAACGCGTACGAAGTCGCGGGCGGCTGCTAGTATATTATAACCACCACACTTACAACACCACACTGTAACCACCCACATAATAAAATGCACCTATATGTGTGATTCTTACATTCTGTTCTGATGCGTCATTATGACACAACATGTCAGACAAGTATAAATCCGCCTTTAATCATAGGCTGAGTTGCACCATCTAACTTTAACCGTAACTATAACGATAACCGATGTTTTTTTGTATGGAATTTGACAGATTTTTGACGCTTGTCAAAGTTAAAGTAAGATGGTGCAACTCATCCTTAGTATATTTTTTTCTACTAACGTACAGTAGTTGTATCTCACTCACACGCTGTTTTCTCTGTCGCACCAGCAAAGGGGCGGAGTCGTGGAAGACTGCACTGTTAAAGGTTTAGTTGTGCATCGGTGTGTAGTATTTGAGTTTTATTTGCGTTTCTGTTTGTCCGTCCTTTGGCGGTGGAGGTAATAGTATAAAGCCCGGTCTGCGAACACGTAGCATTTTGTCTAATGACCCCATGCTACACATCCTTATCGCTCGCGCGTAATTATATTGCTGTCGCGACTGTGCGACGGGCGCCCGCAGTTAGTGTGCGAGCGCGACAGCAACATAATTACGCGCGAGCGATAAGGATGGGTAGCTTGGGGTCATTGGACAAAATTCTACGTGCTCGCAGACCAGACTATAGCAGTTTTAATGGCATATAACGCCCGTATTCACAAACATTACAATGAGGTCACACAGTGCGTGTGGATGCACAGAGTGAACCAATCACAGAGCTCTATTCAACGCTGTGCGTTCGATTTGCTTCTTCACTTAAGCAAGCATCGTTTGTGAATTCGGGCGTAAGAAACGCTTAAGTCAGTCAGTGCCTGAGGTGTGGGAGCGGCTAGAGTGATTTTGTGACGGTCAAACGTCAGCGAGACATCAGATTTCTATGATACGTCACGTCATATGTCAATGTCACCCCTCCCGTGCCGCTCCTATACCTCAAGCACTAAGTTAAACGCTAGAGCTATAGTTTAAAATATGCCATTAAAATTGCTAGAATACTGTTATATTTTGTGTTTGGAAGGTGTTGGTTTTTGATTTGATTTGATTTTTGTCCAGGCTCACATATTATACATTTTGTCATTTTTCTTTCAAGCATGTTTTTTTTTGTTTGCTACCATAAGAAAAAAATTAAGAAAGCATCTTGAAATTATTTGTATACAATCTATAAATCAGTGACATGGCTTGACGTACTCCTGCAGTCAAGACCAAATGACCTGTGTGATGATGATGATGATGATAGAAGCCTAGCTATGCCACTGATTTTAGAATAATATGCCTTTTCGCGTATGATTTTACTTGTATTTATGTATTTGTTACAATATTTCACGCAATCTTTTTTGACATATTTTGACATTTCCCATTATGTATTTTAATCAATACACAATGTCAACTTAATGACGTCATATCCATACTAATGTTATGATTCATACGAAAAGAAATGTAACTCGACATTTTGTCATCATATAAATTGTACCATCTTCGATTGTACTACAATCGATTGTGAATGTTATTTGGGGGATAATCATTTTAAAAACTTCTCGATTAATAATCGATTACGATTTACAGATTATTCCATCGAAGCAAATCGAATGAGGGCTGCCTTCTACAAGAGGACGATGACCTGATGACCGTCTCTTTTATACCAAAGCGGCCGACGCGAGAGCAACCGAGCTTGAACGGGTAGACGTAATTTTGAACTGTATTATTATAGGAAATTGGGTCGAATTTAGCCTGAAGATTTTCACGGGAAATGATAGACTTTGCTGAATGTATAATCGATCGTAAATCCATCGAATAAAGTGCTATTTTGATTGCCACAGCGTGATTCTCTCTTGGTTGGGATATTTGTCAACTTTTATTTCAAATGTGACGTATAAATGTTTCTTCTCTGTCATAAAAACTTAAATTTTAATTGTAATATTTATTTTTAAATGTAACTACATAGTTAAAGACTTTTATAGGCTTAATATTTTTAATAAAATAATTATGTCCTCTTCATTATTTCAAATTATCGCTCAAACTGAAATTTTGTACTATCATCACAAATTAATTTAGAAAAGTATTTCTTTAAGGTACAATAAAAATTGGCTAACAAATTGGTCTATTTGCAATTGATGGAAGATTTAATATACAGGTTCTCCCAAAATTATAGATGACCTACACTGAACTGTCTCTGCTATAACATTGACAGGAGTGCGCTATTGTCAATACTGGGTTGTTTATAGTTTTTGATTTTTTTCACTTGACGTTTCAAAATTGTTGAACTATAGCACGTCCAATGTCAGTGTGACATGCTAATTTTGGGACATCCTGTAGAAAAAAATGACGTCATAAGTTGGTAATTATAAAATCCTACTACCTGCAAGGTATATCTATAAATCCTACTACAAGACGACGAATTTCTCCAATGGATTTTAAATTGTATGTCTTTACTGTAAGGTTGAAATTCAAGTGAGAAGATGTGATTGTATGTTATGACAGCTGTAATGAGCCAGTTGCACTGCAAAAGTCGATCTTATTTCGTGTGCAGTAAGGGTTATATTACAGTCTACATGGGGTTTTGGTGTGCCTGACTTGTATGCTTTATTTGTGGTCCCTTTCCCTCTTGTGTTATTTCTAATACGATAGAAGAGGCTAGGAAATTGTATGTCGACTGATGGTCTTACTTATTTATGACTTGGTGTAAGAAAAATGGCGGGAATAGATGAATAAATTGTACGATAGCACTCAAACTTAACTTTAACACCTTATGTATAGGTCTAAAGCAGTCTTTCCCAAAGTGGGCGATAACGCCCCCTTGTGGGCGCTGCAGGCTTAAAGGGGGGCGGTAAGAGACCCAGAAAAAAAATCGGGACGTTGCAACGCGTTGTGTAGAGGCTTGGGAGGCGTCATCTACTAAGAGGACTCTTAGACACCGACTGAGCTCGACTCTTAACTACAAAAATGGGGGGCGCTAAAAAATAATTTATTCTCAAAGTGGGCAGTAGACTAAATAATTTTGGGAACCACTGGTCTAAAGCTTAACTCAATCAGTGTCTGGGGTATGGAAGCGGCTAGGGTGTTTTTGTGGATGTCAAACGTCTGCGAGATTTTAGATTTGTATCCTCTGTCACGTCATAATATTATGTCAATACTACCCCTCCCGTGCCGTTCCCATACCACAGGCATTGTCTCAATGAGGGCTATCGTTTTTATACTTAACTAGCTGACCCGGCGAACTTTATTCCGCCTTAATGGCAATAAATAGGCAGCCTTTTTATTTATTCCGAACGGGATAAAAAGTATCCTATGTCCTTCTCCTGGCTCTAAACTACCTCCCTGACAATTTTCAGCTAAATCAGTTCAGCCGTTCTTGAGTTATCTAACACGACTTTCTTTTATATATATAAGATAGACTAGCTGACCCGGCGAACTTTATTCCGCCTTAATGGCAATAAATAGGCAGCCTTTTTATTTATTCCGAACGGGATAAAAAGTATCCTATGTCTTTCTCCTGGCTCTAAACTACCTCCCTGACAATTTTCAGCTAAATCAGTTCAGCCGTTCTTGAGTTATAAGTGGAGTAACTAACACGACTTTCTTTTATATATATAGAAGACAGTTGGCACCCCTGGCGATTGACAGGACCTTACTCTACAGTGGCGCCATCTTGATGAGTGCAAATGCGATAGTCCTCCTACCACTTTAGCGCTCACCAGTTGGCGCCACTGTCTTCGCTACTAGCAAGTGACAGGACCTTACTTTACAGTGGCGCTAACTGGTGAGCGCTAAAACGATAGCCCTCATTAAGCACTAGACCTAGTAAGGGTTATCGTTTTGGCACCATGGTGGCGCCACTGTAGAGGTCATGTCAATCGCCAGTGTTGCTAACTGTTAGTATAAAATCGATGGCTCTCATTGTAAGATGCTTATTTGTAACGAAAATGAACTTTATTGTGCTATCGACTGAATATAAACTTTTATTGGCCATAGATTTCGCTTCGCTCCAAAAAACCGCGCGCAAAAAGATCTATGAAGCACTTTTATTCCACAGATTATGTATGGCTTGTATATAGATGTTTATTACTGTTTTATTGTATAGTTACCGATATATACCTGTGTTGATGTTGATATAATTTTGTACAAATGATTTATTAGTTAACATGGTATCTCAGTAATCATAGATACAGTGACGTATATAGTTTAATATTATAATGCCTTCCGTAAAATAAATATTCTTTACTTTTAAATATTACGTGCCTTTTTATTTTAATAAAAAAATACATATCTTGCCTTATCTACCTTATGCTGTCACCATGGTTGGCTGGAAGATATGCGTCCCGTCACAACACGTCATAAAGATATATTATATCTTTAGAGAGAACTAAATGAATTGATGGGGTGTGAAAGGCAAAGCCAAATCATTTTCTTGTCGTCAGTCCGAATTTATTTGTCTGACGTGTGGTGACGTGACGCATCAGAACAGAATTGGTTTCATTCGCTAGTGTTATATCGTGTCGTGATGACTGACGTGTCGCTTAATGTTCTATTCCGTTCTGATGTGTCAAGAGTGACACAAAACCTTATACAAATATAAATTCCGGCATTAAGCGATTGGCGCAAGTACACTATGAGGAAAATTGTCCAAGTCGAAGCGCTAGCCAGCACACCGAAGAATGGCCGACGCACGGGCGGGGAAAGGATTAAGTAACCGAGATGGTGTTAACACTATTGCGTCTTGGAGACAATATCCCGCATAATGGGACTATTCCCACCTCTCGTTCCCACCACTGCAACTCCTGTGTAGCCAGGATCTACAGCTTGACCGCCAATAACCCAACCAATGAAGGTCAAATTTGTCCCGGGGGAAAGTTAAACTGTCATTGGACCCGCAACGAAATTAATCAGAAGAACATAGGAGGAGTTCTAAATTAAGGTTCGACTTCCCTCCATTGCAAAGCGGATGACAGGTGACAAAGGTTTAAAAGCACGGAAATTTTTCCTTGTCGCGACAAGATCGGTGTAATAAATTGCAGAAACAGATAGCAATATCCCGCAAAGTGTACACTGTACTTGCGNTTTGCGTTTGTGTTTGTCCGTCCTTTGGCGGTGGAGGTAATATTACAGCTGTTTTAACCTTTTCAGCGCCACGTCAAATACAAAAGCCATCACTCTAACGCCACGCTTGATAAATTATGATATCAATATAATCACTGTATTCATTATTATTCAGCTTACATAATACTCAATTAGCCTATTACTACTGAGATCATTTTTAAGGCTGATTAAGAGTAGGCGCACACCGTTGATTTTTAGTTGGCCGATAGTTATGCCCGATTTTAAATTGTATGAAGAATCGGCCAAATCGAATCGGCGTAGTGTGCGCACTCCCATACATGCCCATACTGATCAACTGCCCGACTAAACTACCGGCCGACGAAAAATCAACGGTGTGCGCCTACTCTAATCGTCGTTAGCGGTCAACCTGATGTACGCAAGTATCCGTCATTGGCGTTGAAAAGGTTAATGGAATACAACGCCCGTATTGACAAACATTACCATGTGCGCGTGGACGCACAGGGTGACACACGAACCAATCACACAGCTCTATTTAACCCTGTGCGTTCGATTTGCTGCTTCACTTAAGCAAGCATCGTTTGTGAATATGGGCGTAAGAAACTATCGATCTAGCGCTTAAGTCAATCAGTGCATGAGGTGTGGGAGCGGCTAGAGTGATTTTGTGACGGTCAAACGTCAGCGAGACATCAGATTTATATGATCTGTCACGTCATATGTCAATGTCACCCCTCCCGTGCCAGGCACTGAGTTAAGCGAGAGACCTATAGTTTAAAATATGCCATTAAAATTTCTAGAGTACTATTATATTTTGTGTTTGGAAGGTGTTGGTTTTTGATTTGATTTGATTTTTGTGCAGGCTCACATATACAGGGTGTCATTTTCTTTTAAGCATGTTGTTTTTTGTTTGCTACCATAAGAAAAAAATTAAGAAAGCATCTTGAAATTATTTGTATACAATCTATAAATCAGTGACATGGCTTGACGTACTCCTGCAGTCAAGACCAAATGACCTGTATGATGATGATGATGACGATGATAATAGCCTAGCTATGCCACTGATTTTAGAACATGCATTTTTGCGTTTGGTTTTTCTTGTATTTATGTATGTGGTTCAATATTTCACGTAATCTTTTTTGACATATTTTGACATTTCCCATTATGTATTTTAATCAATACACAAGATAAACTTAATGACGTCATATCCATACTAATGTTATGATTCATACGAAAATAAATGTAACTCGACATTTTATTTGTCATCATATAAATTGTAGGTACCATCTTCGATTGTACTACAATCGATTGTGAATGTTATTCGGGGCTAATCATTTTAAAAACTTCTCGATTAATAATCGATTATGATTACAGATTATTCCATCGAAGCAAATCGAATGAGGGCTGCCTTCTACAAGAGGACGATGACCTGATGACCGTCTCTTTTATACCAAAGCGGCCGACGCGAGAGCAACCGAGCTTGAACGGGTAGACGTAATTTTGAACCGTATTATTATAGGCAATTGGGTCGAATTTAGCCTGAAGTTTTTCACGGGACATGCTAGACTTTGCTGAGTGTATAATCAATCGTAAATGCATCTAATAACGTGCTATTTTGATTGCAGCAGTGTGATTCTCTCTTGGTTGGGATATTTGACAACTTTTATTTCAAATATGACGTATAAATGTTTCTTCTCTGTCATAAAAACTTAAATTTTAATTGTAATATTTATTTTTAAATGTAACTACATAGTTGAAGACTTTGATAGGCTTAATATTTTTAATAAAATAATTATGTCTTCTTCATTATTTCAAATTATCGCTCAAACTAAAATTTAGTACTATCATCACAAATTAATTTAGAAAAGTACTTCTTTAAGGCTACAATAAAAATTGGCTAACAAATTGGTCTATTTGCAATTGATGGAAGATTTAATCAAATCAAATCAAATCAAATCAAATCACTTTATTTGTAAAAATGTGGGTAAAAATGATGACAATTAATATGGAAAAAAGTACAACACATTTACCATTACTGGCATACAAATATTTTATGGTATCGAATTAATATTAAAATGTCAAATTATAATATAAGTCAATACAATACAATTCAAATTAAATACAATAAGATACATAAAAATTCACATTCCAATTAATGTACAGGTTGTTCCAAAATTATAGATGTCCTACACTGAACTGTCCCAGCTATGACATTGAAGTTCACTATTGTCAATACTGGGTTGTGTCACAGAATAAGTAATAGTACAGGTACAGAAGGATTACTCCGCACGACGATTTAAATAAATGCGAGTCTTGCTGCGACGCGATACAGTGGAATTCAGCTCGCACAGCACTACGTACCTACAATTTTATTCACCTACAAGTTTTGTCTCTTTCTATCGCGTGCCTCTGAACTCTTCTTACGCTGTTAGGGTTGCTGTCTAGTGAAAAAATAATTAATCTACTTATTTGTAATGAGGTACGTATGTAGGTAAGTAAAAATAACATTTCAAATATACCTAATTAGGATTAAAAAAACTTGTTCTATTACAATGTCTTCATTCATACCTATTTTAACATAAGACAGATAAATTAAACATACTATTACAGAAAAAAAAAGAATCCTATACTATCCTAAGAATTTTATTATTGATTACCTACATGGCCAACATACCTTTCAGCATCTTTGGGAAGCGAAAAAAAAAGATAAATCCGGTAATTTCTTTTCGAATTTAAACACCCGAACGCCGCACAATATTTCTTTCTCTTTATGTCCATTTTTAAATAATACTTCGATCATAGAATTATAATCAT